TATTCGTGCGACTGTCGATTTACCGAGGCCCCGCCGCCATTTGACGGGGATGATGCTCGTGCATTCTCCTTTGCAGCAGGAGTGCCTACACCATGTTCTTTCTGAGGCGGTCGACGGCAATGGCGGCAACCCACCTGTTTCTTGGCCTCTGTCATTCTTTTATCTTTTTTCTGTCGTCTTCTGTCTCTTTCTCTATCCTTCTCTTTCTCTGGCTCTTCCTTTCCCTCTCTCGTTCTTCTCTGTTTCGCTCTCTCTCTCTCTCTCTCTCCCTCTATCTCCCTCTCCCTCCCTCTCTCTTTATATCCTTTCCTCGCTTTTGCTTTCTGCGTGGCTGACGTCGGGCCGTGTTCTTGTCTGCTTCCCTTGCTCTGCAGGTTGGTGCCGGCGTCTTCGATGACGGGGAGACGGAGGTTTATGCGCCTCGCTTTCTTTCTCGGTGTCGCTCCCTTTCTCTCTTTCTCCCCTTCCCTCCTTCTTACCGTCTCTTCTCTCCCCTCTTTTGCTCTTCCTTGTGCGGAACTGAAGCCGAGGAGTTTGGCGATTCCGGGAGCCCTGGCGCGTTCGTGGTAACTGGGACTGCTCTCTTTACCTGGTCTTGTTTGTGACTTGCGTTGCCTCTCCGATTGCAGTTTCGTTCCATCATATTCGTGCGCTTGATTTACCAAGGCCCCGCCGCCATCTGACGGGGATGATGCTCGGTTTATTGAGCGTCTTACCCGCCGTGCATTCTCCTTTGCTGCAGGAGTGCCTCTGCCATGCTCTTTCTGAGGCCGTCGACGGCAATGGCGGCAGCCCACCTGTCTCCTGGCCTCTGTCATTCTTTTATCTTTTTTTCTGCCTTATTCTGTCTCTTTCTCTACCCTTTTCTTTCTCTGGCTCTTCCCTTCCCTCTCTCGCTCTTTTCTGTTCCGCTCTCTCTGTCCTTCGCTCTCTTTCTCTCTCTCTCTCTTTATCTCTTTTCTCTCGCTTTTTCTTTCTCCATTGCTCACGTCGGGCCGTGCTCTTGGCTGCTTCCCTTGCTTTGCAGGTTGCTGTCGGCGTTTTCGATGGCGAGGAGACGGATGCCTACGTGCCTCGCTTTCTCAGTCTCCCCCTCTCTCTCTGTTGCCGTCTCTGCTCTCTTCTCTTTTGCTCTTCCTGGTGCGAAACAGAAGCCGAGGAGTTTGGCGATCCCGAGTCCGAGAGCCCCGGCGTGTCCGTGGTGCCTGGGACTGCTCTCTTTACTCGGTCTTGTTTGAAACTTGGTCGAACGTCGGGTCGTGTTCTTGGCTGCTTCCCTTGCTTTGCAGGTTCTCGGCCTTTTCGATGGCGAGGAGACGGATGCCTACGTGCCTCGCTTTGTCAGTCTCCCCCTCTCTCTCTGTTGCCGTCTCTGCTGTCTTCTCTTTTGCTCTTCCGTGTGCGAAACTGAAGCCGAGGAGTTTGGCGATCCCGAGTCCGAGAGCCCCGGCGTGTCCGTGGTGCCTGGGACTGCTCTTTTTACCTGGTCTTGCTTGAAACTTGGTCGTTCTTCTTTACATCCCAGGAGCTACCCTCCTCGAGCGCCGATGTGCCCGTGCTTGGGCTTGACTAGATGCATGTTGCTGCATGTTGGGGTGGGCTGCACTTGGATGTTGTCGGGGTTCTCGCATTCGAGGTCGTCATCCCTGTCGACATGGTGCCAGAGCAGGAAGGGGTGGAGGAGGAGGAGGAGATGCGGGAGGAGGAGGAGGAGGACTCGGCCCAGCTGTGCAAGTCGTCTCGGTCTTGTTTCTTTGCTGGCTGGGCATTTGTCGTGTTGTCTGGCCTGGCGGGTCGTGGTCTCGCCACTTCTAGGAGTCGCCGCACAAGAAGTTGCCACCGGCTTAGTTTGTGCTTTGGGGTTTCTGGCTTCTCATTGACCGCGTTTGCTGCAGGCGGTACAACACGGTCTTCCTCCCCTGCTATCCCAATCCCTCCGGCCGGTTTAGGGTTCAGTGTTTAGGGTTCAGGGGTTTAAGGGTTTAGGTAGGGGTCTGAGGGTCCCTATCCCTGCATCCGAAACCCTCAACCCTCAACCCTAAATCCTGAAGCTTAAAGCTTGATGCGGAACTCTCGCAGTAATCATCGTAATCAGAATCACCCTTGCAGATCCCCCTTTTTATGACCGCTGTAGTGACCCTACGTCCCAGTTCCCAGAGACTCCAATATCCCTTAATTAAAGAATATTCCTTAGATCACATTACGGATCCTACTATAATTTACGGAATATTCCTTAAATCGTATTAGGGATCCTACTTTAATTTACGGAATATTCCCTAAATCATATAAGAGATCCTACCAAAATTTAAGGAATTTTCCTTCTATACTGAACTTAGAACCCTAGCAAAAATTTATAATTTTAGCTGTTTCTCAGGGATTATAATAACCCAAAACTAAAAATTTACTTCTAAGTACCCCTAAGCCTTAAAAAGGGAGATCGGAGTCTCTCGGAATTCCCTTCCTCCAGAAACCCCCGGGCCTGGGAGCTGTCGAGGCTCTGGGTCAAAGACTCTTCCGGGCTCAGAAACCCTAAACCCTAAACCCTAAACCTTTAGGGTTTAGGGGTTTCATCGCTCAATAGGGGCCTGAATCAAGGATGAATCGGCGGAGACTGGGTTAGGCATGTGGAACACTGAAGCAACTCTACACTACAGAGGGCTGTGGGCTACCTGGCCTTGGGTTGGGGGCTCTTGGAGGTTTAGGGGTTACTTGGAGGGTCGGGGGACTTAGTAACTGGTTATTTTAAGGACTTATAAGTACCATAACCCCAATTAGGGTCCCTTTTAGGGTACTTATAAGTCTACTTACTACCTACTTACTAAGTCCCCCGACCCTCCAAGTAGAACCCAAAAAGGGACCATAATTTTGACAGCCACCCATATCGCAAGTCAACCCTGGCACTTCGCGAACATCGACAGCCCCAAGCCAACGTGCTGGCGTTTATTCAAAGCCCCCACACACCCTGAATACCTTAAACCCAAAATCCCTAAACCCTGAATACCCTAACGTCTAAACCCAATTTCCCTAAACCCTATTCCCTGAATACCCTAAACCCTAAATCCCTAAACCCTAAACCCTGAATACTCTAAACCCTAAATCCCTAAACCCTAAACCTTGAATACCCTACACCCTAAATCCCTAAACCCTGAATCCCCTAAACCCCATGAAGCCATAAAGCCCCAAACTGAAAAGAAGCATTGGGCCCAGGACCACCACGATGAAGAGCATGGCGGTCCTCCAAGGAGGCATCAGAGGCCCTTGCCCGGCAAGACCAGGGAGTTTCCGAAAATTGGGGGGGGGGGGGGGGTACCTTAAAGGGGTTCCTTAAAGGGACCTATATGGGTTCTAGAAAGGGTTTAGAGTTTCCGAACATTGGGGGTACCTTACTTGGGGGTCCTTATAGTAAGGATCCTACTATTGAAGGTATCAAACCAAGGTCCCCTTCGGCAACCCCCACCAAGATCATCTTAGGGGCTGAAAAAGTAACCATGTATGTAACCTTTTGGGGCTTATATACCCCTACTATACTTCAAAAGGTTAGCCTTCTTTTGGGCCAGGGTATTCAGCCCCGAAGTAATAAAACAAATGTATAGGGTTTGGGGCTTAGGGTTATAGAACTTAACATCTAGTATGGCACAGCATAGTACGGGACAGTATAGCAGAGTAGAGTATCGTATGTAGAAGAGTATAGTCGAACCGCGGAAGCTTCACCGGGGACTCCATGATGTATAGTGTACATTTAGCGGCGTTTAGGGTTTAAGGTTCAGGGTTTAGGGTTTTGGCACACAATCCAAGCCCATGCTGAAAGGGTTTTGGATGTGGTTTGTGTCGTAATTGAATATTTATGTTGTTAAGCTTCTTATTTCTGGTACCCCCACACTTTGTTTCGCAAGCTCATGGGTACGCATCTCCACGCGCATGTAGCGGGGGTCAGAGACAGTCCCATAGCCTTCAAGCAATCCCAGGTGATGCTTCTAGGTGAGATCCCCTTCAATTCGCTTGCGAAGTTAGGGGTGTTTATGGATTTCGGCGTCTACGGACCGTATAGGTCATAGGTCGTGCCACGCAGTCGGAACCGTTGGCATCGTTGGCGGTGTCAGCGCCGTCATCGCGGTCGTTATCGTCGTCGTCGACCGCCGCCGTCGTCGTCGTCGTCAATGTCGTCCGCATCGGCATCTGCGGTGTAGACATCGTCGCCTTCACCGCAGCTGCCTCCGTCGTCGTGGTCCTCGTCGTTGTCGTGGCAATAGTAGCCGCCGCTGCTGCTGCTGCTGTTTTTGTAGTGTCAGGCCTTCTAACTCAGACTAATTCAGCTACACCTGGACACGAAACATCATTGCTGCTGTCGTTCCTCCTCCTCTTCCTGCTCCTGCTCCTTCCTCCTGCTCCTGCTCCTGTTCCAGCTGCTTTCAATCCTGCTACCGCTGCCGCTGCAGTACTGCCACTGCCACTGCGACTGCTACCAGAAGGATTAAGACGAGTGGTCGCGGTAAAGAGGAGACTGCGGCAACCCGTCCGGAGGCAGGGTTGGCAGCACGAGAACCGTCAGTGGGTCCACACCCAGGCCGGATGCAGCTCGCTGTACACATTCGTTCTTGAATTCAGACTCAGAGCCGTCAAATCAATCTGCGAGATGTGAAGCGCAAGCTTCCCGATCACTGCAGCTGCTTCAAGAGCGTCCCTCATGAGAAGTGGCCCAGGAAGTCTTGCTTCTACAGCCACCCAGTGCCTCCAGGCTGACTCCCGTGACCCTGGAGCCTCCCCAGACCTCCAATATTATCGAGACGATCTAATTACTTATTGGCTGCAAACTCAAGTATCAACTTTTGAGGTTCTGATAAGGTAGTCGATTCTGAAAGTTTCAACTTTTGTTTCCTTGGGTTTTGCGCCAGTTCGATTATCAACTCTTTAACGCTTTCTTTCTCCACACCCCAGACCCTCAGCCAATTTTCCATCTCTCGCCAGAGCTGGTCCTGATCTTCACACAGAATGTTGCAGCCATGGCGATGTGCTGCGCAACGCGGCTGTCACCGCCGACAGCTTCCGCCTATCCGCCCCAAGGTGATCAGTTTTTTGGGGATTTCCAATCTGTTTGCTGACCTTCTAAGGGAGCAGCGGCTGCACACTCAGGGAATAAGGGGGCTCGGATTTGGTTAACGGCTACAGTCCTGCTGTCAGTTACTTAGTCACGGAATGGAATCTCAAAGGAAGCTTCGTTCCATGTCGGAAAAACATCGGGTTACTATACTTCCCCGGTGGGAGGTCACCACTGCGTTCTGAGGTTCAGCCTTTGCCAATGACTGCGTTCCAATTGGTTCGGTAGAGGGTTAAAGCTTTAGCAACATTAACATGGCTCGTTCTTGCGGGTATTGAATGGCTGCCTGATCGACCAAGCCGAATTATAGACATGCCAGTGAAACACGCGCATGTAGAAGGTTTCCCTGCAGGTCGTGTACAAGAGGCTCTTGCAGCGAGTTCCTCCGGCACGGGAGCTTTGAGCGATTTCTGCGCCACGCAGTCGCTTGTCTGCGGGCTGATGGTGCCGTTCTGCATCGTGCCGGCAAGCAGATCTTTAAATCCCAAGCCCTAAACACCCTCTAGGGTTTTGGGGTGCAGTTGTGACAAGTGTGAAGCCTTGAAGATCCCAGCAGTTGAACCGGAAATCGAATCCCTAGGCCCTACCTTAACCCTGGAAAACCTACCTGTTTAGGGTTCCCTAATATGATTTCGTTATATAAGTCCTTAAAAAGGTAGGCTATTTTGGGGTCTTGAAAACCCTCAACTCAGTGATGCTTGAACCTGCATCCCTGAACCGAAATTTTGGGGACTCCTTTATGTAACTCTAGCATAATGGGCCCCAAAACCCTGTGCTGAGTATTGAGGCCCATGAAACACAGGCTTCCAGGCAGCTGTTTCGAGAAAGCTGGTCTGCCTAATTTCTGGGCCTGAAGAAGCATCAGCGATACTAATTCAGATACCCTACAACATGTCATGAAAGCCTTAACCATTCTATTTATGAAGCCTTCTTAAGGCACGTGACCCGCCAAGTGAGTCTGCAGACGTGCCATGCGGGAGCACGAAAAATTCAGCAAATCCAGGCTCTCTCCGACGTAAGTGCGGACGGAAGCTGGTTAAGGCAAGCGGGCGACTGTGAGGCATAAGATTAGGCCCGGCTTTATGGCTGTAGGCTTAGGGTTGACGATGAGTTTAGTGTTGGGGATTAACTGCGGGTGAAGGGTTCAGGTGAAATCAAGACAGGGTTGTGGGTAAAGGCTTGAGGGTGTAGCTTTTGGGTTCTAGGTTACCATCGGGAAGCAACCGACCTGCAATCTCTCACCTTGAGGCTTTTCAACCTTCTAGCTTTCGTTTCAGGCTTCAGACTGGGCGGTCGGGGATTGCAGGAGCTTAGGCACCGATCGGCAGAAGGTAGTGCAGGCCGTGCCAAAGGATGTTTGGGCCGCTAGGCTTAAACACCTGAGTAGATGCGAAGAAGAGCAAATGTCAAACCCTGAAGTTCCGGAACCCTGAACCCAAGCCACGGATGAGAGCCTAATTAGGTCTGCATCGCCTGGAGATCTGCAACCTGTGTCAGATATCGATTTGTGGTTTTGTCTCCATGGCCAGAACATGGAGAAACAGAGCGAATTGAGTCAATCATTGCAGACACTCGCAGTCACACCCCTTGAGCAGAGCACACCTGCAAGTATTTGCGGTTTCAACGAACGGGTTAAGAAGGGCTACGGTGAGATGGAAGGGCAAGAGTGACATGAAGGGGTGATGAACAGCAGAACATGGAGGAAAGGAGCAAAAGCAGACTTCACTTGCAAACGCTTGTCTCTTGGGCTCCCGACTGACGTGGCAAAGCAGCGCTAAAACCAAGAACCGCCAAATCGGCTGAAGCAACCCTAAACCCTAGGCCCTAAACCCTAAACCCTTGAAGGCCACGGTCTCAATCGCGGCCGGTGGTGCTGGGGCTGAGGCGGCACCGCTTTCGTCGGGAGCTGAGGAGGCTTGTTGGGCCCCTAACCGCCCCACCCGACGAACCCCACACCCCGAAATACTCCACAGCCCTAAATGCAAAGCCCGAAGCCCCTATTTAAGCCCCCAATGTCAAAGCCCTCCAAAAATCCACCCGCTATTGGGTCCGTGCTATGGAATCTAATTTTAACGCTACGCCGCCCGCCTCGGCATGACGGAGACCAGCACTGTGACAGAACTCGTCGACATGCTTCTGTAATGTGAAAAGGCAGAGTGGATGCAGAAGTGGGAGGGAGGGGGTCAAGGGACGGAGCGGCAGTGGAAGGGCGGAAGAGAGGTGAGAAGTGGGGAGGGGGCAGGGGGGCAGGGGCAGGCCACGGGGCAGGAGGGCCTTGCAGAAAAGGCCAAGAACCCGCAGGAAAGGGCCGAAAAAGCAGTAAAATGAAGGGGGGCCGGGTGGGGAGGTGGGAAACGAGCGAAACTTTGGCACAGTAGGGAGGGCCTCGGAGGACTTAGTTTTTTAGTGACTTACCATAAAAAGGAACCCTCTCAATTTCTATAGATCCCTAAAAATCAAATTCTCACGGCTCAGAGTTTGGGCTTCTTGGCTTCAGGCCTGCGCTGTTCGGAGTCTCTAGATGGGTGTTTCCGAAAATCGGGGGCCCTAATACAGCACCCTAAATAATAGGATCCTTATTATAAGGACCCCAGAATAAGGTACCCCTAATTTTCGGAAACCCGCAGATCGGTTATTCGTTCGCAGCTCCGCATTTTACTTATGTCATGAAGAGCTGTCTATGGGGTTGACTAGGGCTTATAAAGAAGTCTGTAGGATTGGGGCCTTTTTCGACCCATGATCAATATTCCCCCACCCCATGTACGGTTGTTGATGGGGATCCTCAGAATGACTTAATGAATCAGGGTCTACACTGGGGAAGCCGGTCTTGGCTTCTGAAGGATATCATCGCGGTTGCGTGCGATTGGGGGTATTGGATTGTTGAGGAGACCTCTGGTGCCTTAGGCGACTACACGAACTCCAATCGGCAAGTTCTTGTGAAGCGGGAGCTTAGCAACCAGGTGGAGGTGCGGTAGTGTACGATGTGATGGCTGTATAGACGTGTGATAAGGGAACTTCATGGTGCTATGAGGTGGGAGTTTGTGCGCACACAGCATGTTAGTCATACAGTAACTTAACTACCGAAAGCGATTTTTGTGCCAGGGAATGCTTCAACAAGTAGAAGAGGCGGAGCGGGTTTTGGGGATCGAATGCCTTCGAGCTTGCCTCTGTGTCTGACCAGGAGGAGGAGGAACGGGAAGCTGCCGAAGAAAAGGAAGGACTTCTGCCCTCCACTGGGAATGAGGCAATCGACCAGTTGCCACATGGATGCGATTTTTTGGGGTTCATGTTGAGTGTTTGTTGTTGGCATGAGCTTGTGAGGAAGGAGGGGTGGGGAGGCCCGGCTAGCACAACAAAGCAACAAATTTAGCATGCGGGGTCAACAGCCTGATCCTTTGTTGTACCAAAACTGGCCATGCGTAAGCTGCTCGATGGATTGAGAGGACATGTTTGTCAGGTCCCCAACGCAAAGGGCACGTCCTGACTGAAGGCTACGGCTACTGCCGACTCTTGAGTCCAGAACAGCTCCTACCTGTTCAACGGTAACCTTGAAGCTGTTTGGGGTACTGCACCTCCTATTGAATCGTGAAGGTTTACCTTCTATTTCTCCCAGGAGATTGGACGAGGAAGGATAGCTATCGGCTATATGGCACGCTGCAAACCCCTTTCCGAGAATAACTCCGGGCTCTTGTTCACTCGTGTTTTGCTTCGGTTCTCATAAACAGCTTCTTCAAACTCTTGTCCGTTTGCAGAAAGACATTGAGGTTGAAGGCCTTAAATTTTCCTGGCTTGTGGCCTTAGGGGCTAACCAAGCTTCAAGTCCTTTTCCGACACAGGCCAAGGCAACTGCAGGACAATATGGAAGCCGAGATACTTCCGAATATTATTCCATAGGGTTCCTCATTATACGTATACTGTAAAGGGGCCCAAAAACCTATTCTAAGCCTTAAGGCCCCTGCATTAGCAGCCTGGCCTAGACTGCCCGAGATGTGACAGTCCAACCCTGGTCCGACTCCGGAGCCCTGTTGAGTAAAAGAAGCCCTTGCAACCTTGTCTTTGTCTATTGTTCCCGGCAGTTCGACTAGGTCAACTAGGCGGGAGGCAACAGCCGTGACTGACCGTGATAACTTTAACCGCACGGAAATAACAGTATTAAATGATGGTACTCATAATCGCCACACTACTGCTGTTACTATCCCTGCTGCTACTCTACCGCTACTTGAAACAATGATAGTGATAAACAAATAACAGAAATATGAGTAGCAATACTCGCAATAACAAAGACAATAACAATAACAAGGCCAATAGCAAAAACAAGCAGATGAGAAGACAAATAGCAAGAATACCAACAGCAACAGCAAACAGCAGTATGAACAGTGAGAATCACAGTACCAATAGCAATACCAATACAAACAGTACCTGTAATAGTAGTAGAAATAGTACTAACGATAGTACGAAGAAGAGGAATACAAATAACAAAAATAACAATATTAACAATAATGCTTGGATTGAGCAGGATACGTATAATCACAGAAACAAGTAGCAGCAATAGTAAGAATAGGTGTATTAACTGTATTAGTAATAACTAAGTAATAACTAACAATAGTAACAATACTACGAATAGTAATTAATAATGGCACTCCACGCCAAGTCCCAAGGCTCGATGTGGCCACTGACCTTATCCCCGTGGTCGGTTCTGCGAAGTCGCTGGCGCAGGCGGAGACCAACAATGAGGTGCTGCTGGCTGCCCGGCGGTCCATTCGGAATTTAGATGTTTTTACCTATAGTCTCCATTGTAGTTCTTTTTTGGGGTTACCTTTTAGGATCCTTAATATGAAACTGGTTGAACCAAAACAAGGAGCTACAATGGAGACTACAGGTAGGACTTAACCAGAAAGACAGCCAAGTTCATTGACTTTCATCCCTTAAAGAAGCCCTTAAAAGCTTAAAGTACCCTTATAGATCCCTTAAAGAAGCCCACTTAAAGTATCCTTATAGAGATCCCAAAAAGGACCCTGAGCTTCGAGTAGCTCCTACAAACCTGAGAACGCTGTAGGTTTTAACGACCCGAAACCCTCCCAGAGCTCAAAGCCCGAACTCAAAGCCCCAACTGTACCCTTAACCCTAAACATCCCTACATTGCAAATCCCTCGAACTTTAATTGCCGGTTATTCGGTACTCTACCAACACAAGCCCTCTAATCTTCGCTGTCCGCTTGCCCTGCATAGGCCAAACAATCACCTTCCTAGTAGTCGAGTAGGTAACCTTTAACCTTTTTTGGGTAGTATAGTCCCTAGATAACCCCTATGGAACCAAAAAGGTTAACCTTTAGTTCCCCATGATACCCGACAAGTAGGCCTTTTCAGGCTTTGGGCGAACTTGCCCTGGATGCGGTGACATTGGGCGCTGGCTCTGTGGCCAAGGCCACTGCGGCCACGGTCTTCAAGAGATCCGCGAAGGCTTCGGCTTAGGGTTTATAAGGGTTTGGGATGTTTAGGGTTTAGGGTTTAGGGTTTAGGGATGTTTAGTTGGGTAGATGTCAAAATTATGGTTCCTTTTTTGGGTACCCTAAATATTAGGTGCCGCGCTGTATTCAATTAAGGACCCAGAAACGGACCATAATTTTGAGAACCACCCAATTACAGTTTAGAGTTTAGACTTGCTGATTTAGAACTAGGTTTTTTTTCGTTACGGGTTTAGGGTGGTAATTGGGGCTTCGTGAGTTTAGCCGTTTAAAGAGTTGAAGAAGGGGTGTGAAGGGGTTCCCTCTGCAGCGCGTAGGCTGTGCAGCTGTGTAGAACAGGCCTGGGTACTAACAACGTACTAAGAGGCTCCAACAGGTCAATCCCAGCTTTCCACACTTTGCCATTGCGCCCATACCCGGAGGTGTAAGGCTCAGTCAGGGTTCGAGCACCTCGCCCTGCAGCAGCTAGCTAAGAGCCCGGCTTCGGCTCCACTTCACGGTGAGTTTCTCCCGTGACGAACACTTCGAGATGCAAAGTGTGTCCAGTACCGCCATGATCACTTTGACTTGCTATGTGTTTGCTTGGAGACACGAAGGCCGTCGTGAAGGCCTCTTTCTTGAGGCCACTTCCTTGCAAAGGTGTCACTTTGTTCGCAGAACGAGACGCGGTTACATCCGTTGGGGTTCCCACGGCACGTGGAGTCTTACCATGGAGCAAGGGCGGCCTGTGCTCCGTCTAGTGGGGTTTAGGTGCTGCGCAGATGCTACCATCCGGTACATTACTTTCACGGTCGATCCCCGCAACGAGAGATTCATGAGTGACTCGCAAGGTAGGACTATCAGGTACCTTGGACAGCTGCGCATGCTAATCCATGCAGGCCCTCTAAGGGCCTTGGCATTGCCCGACTCGGAAGAGTGGGTTGTTTTGTAGCACTATAGCTGCGGTACCTGGCCCTCATAGGCAATGAGGGAAGTCGGAATTGCCCTGCTTAGGGCGAGAGTAGGTGCAGGGTTCAAGTTTTCTTCCAGCACGCAAGCTTTCCCTGCAAGGAATCGGTGAGCTCCTCACCTTTCCTTCTACCTTTTAATTGCGTTACCAGACGGGTAAAGCTTCTTCCCGAGAGGGCGAGCTTCTCCCCTCAATACCCTAAGTGCCCAATAGCCTCAGGTGCAGCTTTCCGTTGCCTGTGTTTGCACCTCAACCGACTGAAAGGGCTTAGGAATAGGTCGTGTTTGGACCGCTGGGACACAGATCCCATAATTAGGCCCTCGAGGTCTCTAGCAAATTTTGTGGTCCCCTAAACTGAAGTACACTGGCAAGAGTGGACCAGTTAGTAAGAGCGAGAACGCTGGTCACTGCTCTGTCCCGTTGAGTAGGAGCGAGAAATTCGGGACGAATGGCCTTACCAGTTGCGACGTAGTTAGGAGCCCAAATGCCGTTGCAGATTCAGCAGCGGTTTTTGCAAAGACTCTTGCTGCAGCTTGCAGGGTAGAGAAACCTCCCCTGCTTGCTTTGAAGGTGCCTTTGGGCTAAGCTTCCTCTTGAGGGAGTGTGCAGGGGACTCCTTGTCTGTAGTCTGGGGACGACGCGAGCCATACTCCGGTAGAGCCCTGCTCCCGTAGAGTGGGACGACGGAATACCCAGGACTTCAGGTAGTGAGCCCTTGCGCTCTTCTCAGTGTCAGGAATACCAGGGCTGCTGCAGCCCAGCCTCTGTTCCAGGACTTCGTTTGGAACTTTGTGTAGTCACCTTTTGCGTATTGGTGACGCCCAGGCTTTGACTCGAGCTTTGTCGGTGGGCTCTTTTGTTTGTTTGGCGCTTGCGGGGGTTGGGATTAGTGTTCTCTGCTTGGGCCCATCGCTGCACTAGCGCGCGACGGAAAACGCAAGAACCGATCACGTATTTGTGAGTATCTCCTCTTACGATGATGTGCTGTGTGGTTGGGATTGGGTCGTGCAGGGGGCGCTGGTTCCGGCTTCGCCTCTGTGTTGGTCTTTTCGCCTGGGTTAATCTAGCTTTGCCTGCTCAGCTGTGCCAGTTGCAAGCTTGGCATTTGTGGTGTCAGTTACAGTCCTTGGGGCTCGTTTGCAGGTGAGTTTCTCCCTGCAGAGCCCTCACGGCCCCTTTTCTCTTTGCTGGTCTGTTGGGTGGCCAAAGGCAACGCAGGCTTTGTGTTCGTGCAGGACTGGGCTTCGGGACCCTTCCTGTTTTCCTGTGAGCTTCTCGCAGAAGAAAGGCATCTACCCTTAACCGTGAATTGGGAAGTTTCTTCCCTCTGGTAAGGGTGAGCTCCTCCCCTTATCTACAATAGGGACGTAGGCAGCAATGAGCTTTTGAGCTGGCAGCTTTTAGCTAAGGTGAGTTCCTCCTTTAGCGCTGCTCAGGTGCTCGGCTAGGAGTGAGAGCCTCCTCACGGCCTTCACCTGCCCTTTCCGTTTCACCCCGACCCCCCCGTAGAGCTCTGCTCCGGAAGGCCCAACTGTGGCGCGTGACTCTGTCCGCTCGGCTGAAGGGGTTGGGATGTAAGAATGCTTGCTGACAGGGCTGTTGCCGGTCTTCATGTCTGCTTAGATACAGGTTGGGATTCCGCGACAACCCTAAATCCTAAACCATGGGACACAACAAGAAAAACAACACCAACACCCAACAGTAGCCAGCCAACCAAGCTCAGTGGACCCAGTGCTTGAAGCCATGCCTGCCTTGTGCGAGTGTGTGAGTCGAAACCCTAAACCATGACACACTGCGAGGTAGATTGGAGTGCAAGCAAGGGTTGAAACTTTGTGGGGCCATTTGCAAAGGACTTTCAGGGATGTGCCGGGTGTAGGTGTGGGTAAGGCTAAACCCTAACACGACCTTGGGGCTCAATGTCTGTAGCCATGGCCTGCGGTTAACAAACATCACACTAGTATAGCACCAGATAACATAATAGAATAGCGACATACGTTTGCAGAGGATTTGTCATGGATAGGACGTTTCACTAAAACTATAACCAAGTTTAGGGAGAGCTTCGGCCCTTGTGGTCAACCTTTGTACGGTGAAGTTCAGCAGGAACACTTTCCTTGAGAGAGCGAAGAGTTTCGGCTTGTAGCCGCTGTACGACACCCCGGGCGTTTAGGGTTCAAGGTTTAGGGTTTAGGGCTACGCCCTAAACCCTAAACCCTACGACCTTATTCAGGCGTAGACGACATTTCGAACGTCGATGCGGTTGCAACTCAAAAGGCCTTCTTCCCAACTGCCCTGACCCTTCAAGTCAGCGGTGCGCGAAGGTGTCGAAGGGCAGAAGAAAGATCCAACAACTTGCGAAAGTCATTGCAAAAGCCACAGGTGCCAAGAAGGCCAATAGCACCATGGCAACAGTACTGTTGATGATATAAATCATGCATTACCTTAAGGACCCAAAACTAGGGGAATTATGCTATATTCCTGATTTGGGTAATGCAGGGTTCATATCATCAACCGTATGTAAACTTCAGTCTCTTCAGGCTTTGGGGGTTCAGGATTTCGGCCTTATGGGCTGTTTGAGTCTGTGGCTGTACACCTCCTTGCCACACTTGGTGCATCAGCTTTCAGTTCAAATCGAAAATTCTCAGCAAAAAGTGACAACCTTGAGCCCCCCACATACACCATGTATGCAGATGCATATACATGCATGTATGCATGCGTGCATATACACATACACACCTACGTACATGACTATATACGTACCTACATACATACAAATGAATATACATGCGCTTGAGCATGTGTACACACACATATATATATATGCACACACACACACCTGCACAGACACATATACACACACATACACACGCATGCACACGTACATACACATGTACATACATGCATGCATGTAACGGAAAGGCTGAATCCCCTCCCTGCAGCGTCCGTGGCCAAGGATTGACGGTTGTTGCAAGGGCCGTGGAAAAAGCCAGCCGCGATGTCGTCAAGTCCTTTCTGCAGCTTTCCTGCCATCTGGGGTGTTAGCTGCTGCAGGGCCGGGTATAGGTAATCCGTAGCCTTGCGCCGCCAAACACTGCGGCACGCACTAGGGTGCAGTAGCCGGGTATGGCATTTTCCTTAGCTTTTTTCCCAAGCACTGTCGTACACGGGTTCTTACGAGGTTTCTCCCAACTTTACTGAAGGGGCCGAAGCAATTTGCCAACACTGTTGTGGGGTGCCGTGTGATAGTTACAGTACAACATGCTCCCAAGACCCTGTTCAAAGTATTTATTAAGTCCCCCATACTATTGAATTATTATTGCTGTGGTGGGGTGTACGGCCGGAGCACGGTGGAACACATTTTTGGATAGATTGCCATGATAGAGCTTTCCAGTGTAGAGGTATGATGGGAGCATGAGGAACTAGCCGTGGTATCCCTCTGCGTTCCGTATTATGACCATGGTCTAGTATACCCCAAAAAGCCAATTGTAAGTATTGCCGCCCCAATCTTACGCCCTTATAGTAGCCCTCAGCGTGTCCCTTACAGACGGAAAGGAGCCCTGTTCCAATTAATTCCTATACCTTAAAACCCTGAGTCCTAAACCGTTAACACCCTCCGAGCATGAGCCGCGAGACCCAAAACCCTAAACCCTTAAACCCTAAACCCTAAAACCGTAAATCCTAAGCCCTAAAACCCTAAACCCTGCAACCCTAAATCCGAAACCTGAAAACCCCAAACCCAAAACCCTTAACCCTAAAACCCTAAACATTAAAACCCTAAACCCTAAACCCGAAAACCCCAACCCCCAAAAACCTACCTAAACCCCAAACTCAAAACCCTAAACCCGAAATCCTAAACCCGAAAAACCCCAAAGAAGCCTCAGCGCAGAGGAGGGTGCGAGCGGGCTTTCGGCCTTTGCATAGATCGCCTCAAGCCCTGGCGCAGGTGGGGGCTGCTTGGAGGGTCGGGGGACTTAGTAACATAATGGGTTCCTTAAGGCCCCCTTTAAAGGGATCTGTAGGGCTTTTTAGGGCTTAGGGTTTAGGGGACTTAGTAACTGGTTGTTTAAACGACTTATAGGTACCATAACCCCAATCAGGGTCCCTTTTAGGGCCTTTTAGGGTACTTATAAGTCTACTTACTACCTACTTACTAAGTCCCCCGACCCTCCAAGTGTCAGCTTTATAGGGACTACTATAGAGGCCACCACAAGGCGAATAGGGTTCCTTTAAACTTTAAAGGGGCCTACAAGTGCTACTGTCAGGGCTGAGGGCTGTCAGCTCTATAGGGAATACTATCCCCCTTTAGGATGTAGGTTGGCAGGAAGGCTGCCCTAAATATCTTGGGTTTTGGCTTTGGGGTGTGTGTATAATATGTATACAGCCGGCGTTTCTCAATCAGGTCTCCACATTGATTACTTTCCCGTCGTTGGCAGCCGGATTCGGGTTCTTTGGATGCGTCCTCTCCTCTCGTAGTGCCAAATTCTGGGTACCTGTGGGAAACCACACCAGATGGCCGAAAATGGCCACCGCACCGATGAACCTCCTCTTAGAGGAATCGGGGCGCTCAAACCTTCGAGTCCTCTAGTCATACGTATGTGTAGGTTATATGTGTGTATGTATATATATATATATATGTATATGTATATGTATGTATGTATGTATGTATGTATGTGTATATATATATATATATGTAGTATGTACCATGTATACACATAGACATATAACTTAAAACCGTTTAACCCATCGCCCTCTGACCCCAATGCGCTCAACCGTATAGGGCACATAATGACCAAATGTGAGTTTCCGAAAATCAGGGGTACCTTATTTTGGGGTCCTTTTCATAAGGATCCTACTACTTAGGGTACCATATTAGGGCCCTATTTTCAAATCCCGAAAAGGCCAAGAAGGTGAGTCGTGGCCTCCGGTCGAGCCATGCTCGAAAGAAGACCCCTGGTTGTGCTTTGGGATATTTTTTAATTTCCCTTATTTCCTTATAAAGGGAACCTATCCATAAATAATTTGCAAAGGGTAAAAAAGCACAACCCAGGACGTTGTCGAAGATCTTTGAGGTCCAGAGACATCTGCAGCTTGTCAGCCGCTTTTTTGTGGCTCGGGTCTTTGTATACGGGTTTTGGGTGTTTTCGGGGTTGGCGATTAATAGGACTTACAGGTGAGCCCTGTTTTGGGGGCCCTTACGCTAAAGATTTGTTTTGAGTTGCTTGTTTTCCGAGAATCGCAACCATCTCGTGAAGCCAGTTGCCGAATAGCCTTTTTGGTTTGAGTTTGGGGTTTAGCTTGTAGTGTCGTAGCGTGGCTAGACTTGAGTCCAGTAGCAGAAAGGTGGTAGTTCCGCCATTGGGCCGTTAAGCTTTGCAGAGTGTAGCTTTCTGGCGAACAGGGCCTGACCCCATGCTTGTCAAGATGGATAGGCTCTGAGCACCGAAGAGGAGCTGTTCTGAAGTTGTGAAGCCAGGACATTCTGGTTTCAGGGCTTCCAGGCTTAGACTTCAAGACATCGAAAGCTGTAGCAGGACAAGCTGCAAGGAATCATGACAGCTTGTGCTAGATTCAGTCGCCCAGAAGGACCCTTTCTAGCATTTACTGCTTTGCTGCAAGAATGTTCTGGTCATACTTTGAACCACGTAGAGTTGATGGAGGCTTATAGGGTTAAGGCGACTTAGATCCCTTGAAACACCGGAGAAAGTTTTAATTTGTCGCTATTGACCTCGCGTACAAATGTGGCTTACGTCCCAACCAACACCTCAACTGCCAAACCGTCAACTGTGTTTTACCGAATGTCTACCATTCACCGAGACTGGCGTTACGTTCACCGATCCCGGAGGCAGAACATCCTGAACCTCAAACTGTTGCCCTAAACCCCAAAGCAAAACTAAAGGCCACAGGGGGTTAGGTTGGTTCGGGGGTGTGCGTAGCGACCAGACTCAAACCAAGAATGACAGCACCCTGTGAAGATCCGGAACTTTAAACCCTCTTGCATTTTTGCAGGCTTTCTACTGCTAGGGGTAAGATTTCAAGGACGCCTAGCATCTCCGAGTTGTGAGAGCGTAAACCCTACCACCGCAAAGAAAGCATCCCAGCAATTTCACGGAGCCGCGGACAAATAAGGCAAAAAGAGCTGAGAAAGAAGGGCATCGCTCTAAGCCGTTCCACTCCAAAGAATGCCGACGTTTGGAAGAAGGTGGGCTAACTTGAGCTTTTATTGTTTGCTCACATTAATGGTAGGCAAGTTTAGCTTCACTGTTTGCTTACAATGGTTTATGGCTTTCTTGTTTTGAAACGGGTTTGGGGTCTAGATTGATGGTTTAAGCTTTGCAGTCGCTTGCGGGCGTGAGGCTTGTCTTCACACTGACAACACTGACAAGCTGTTTGTTTTATGCTTCGCTTCTTTAAGGCTTGAGGGTCTCGTTTTGGCAAGGGTTTGGGACGGACAGTCTTGACGTCTTCCATATCCCCGAGCATATCACGCAGTGGCTCTACAGGTCAGAATTCCGCAAGGAACCTGTTTCTTTCTGAATTGAGTCATGGTGTCGTCGAGTAGCTTCGCGAAATCCTGGACACACAGTGCTACCATTCCTATTTGTGCTGTTATCATATACGATTAGCACCATTAGTACTACAAGGTGGGGCAAGCGATGGATCTTCGAGATCAATTGGGCCGCTCGGGTAAGCATTTTTCTGAGCATGGTCGGTTCCATCTCCAAGCCGAGACCCCACACATAGTAGTTCCTTTTTGGGATTACCTTGCGGAATCTGCAGTTGTCGTCCCGATGACCGGTTGACGAGCAATTTCAAACTAGCCCTTTGTACAGGCGTAGTGTCACCTTCCCGGAGCGGAAGCCGCAGCCTTTATTTTGAATTTGCCATGGCCCGCGTGCCTCTTGAGCAGTTTGCGTCGTTGCTGCGCAAACCCAGCAGAACCCGTTCAGACGCCCGCTCAGGTGCTCCTTCCGTTGTTTCGGGTTGCAGGCTTGGTGACTTTAGCCCCAACCTGTTGCTGCATTTTCACAACCAGCTTTGTACCAGCACAGACCATGCCTCTATGCCAATGCGAAGCACCTAGTAGGCCCATGAGAGGAAGTTCCTCAGCTCGGTAGCGCACCCTTTGAAGCCCAGGCGACCTCACCTTTGCGATGTACACCGTGCCGGCCGACTCCTTCTTGCAGATGACAGAAGTCAAGACGCATGAGGAGCTGCTAGACGCCGGTGTGGTCACAGAGTTTGATGAGAGCATGGGAAACGCCATGTTCGTGTCGCACCAGTGGCTGAGTGACACACACCCTGATCCATACTTCCAGCAACTGAGAACCTTGCAAGAAGCACTGAAGAACATGGCGGCTGGAACCAGTAAGGTTTATCTACCTGTGCCCCAAGAGATTCTAAGTGGTCGCAGAAGGTGCCCTACCGCCGATGATTTCGCATCCGGCCTGCATGTTTGGTATGACTACTTCAGCATTCCGCAGGGCGCTGCTCGCCACGAATCTGTGCTCCGCAAGAATGCCATTCACAGCATCCCCTCGTATGTGGCAAGATGCGAGTTCTTTGTGGTGCTGTGCCCGGCATTCACGCACAGAGACCAGGACCGTACCCTGAGCCATGCAACCTGGGGCGAACGAGGGCAGCTGGGTTGCAATGGTGTCCTGTTCTTCTGGCATTTAAGATGTTCGCATGTAGACTTCCTGCAGCCCAGTCCAGGTGGTGTCGCACAGAGAGAGCTGCACGTGAACTTTCGACTCGCAGCGGTGGCGGTGGCTACGTCATCGTGATAGAAAGCGCGACACACCAGACGCTTATGTGGACGGGAAACAGCATGAGCGATGCACCTGGTGAAGGAGAATTTACACTGGATGCTGACAGAGTGGGGATTGGTCGTATGATCACCCAGATGGTTTGGTCCAAGCTTTTTCATTACCTCGAGCGACGAGAGTTTCACAACTACCGGTTCCTTCTCAACTCGCATGCCGCGCGGTACTTCCGAGCCCTTGACGTGGAGCCCATTGACGGCCTTGTCCCGGGGTTCCAGACTCGTATCGACCCGAGTGTTGATGCCCAGGGCTTCATGCTGGATCGTTTCCTACATCAGAACGGCTTCAGGAGCTTCTCACCAACAATTCCCAGCCCCCAAATCTAGCAAAGTTCCATGCCTATCCTGCCTATCCTCGTTTTCCCACCCTGTCAGGAACATCTTCGAGCGCGATTCTGAAGGATGGCCGCCCATTTGCTTCGCAGCGATGAGCAACAACCTCGTGGTGCTGCAAGCTCTTCTTGAACGACGAGTGGATATCAACCAATCCACGAGCAAAACCAAGGTGGAGATAAACTTTCCCCCAAAAATGACGGCTCTGGGAATGGCTTCCTGCTTCGGCAACAGCGAAGCTGTCGAGCTGCTCCTTTCTGCCAAAGCAGAAGTGAACTACAAGTTCGTGGGTGGCAGCACTGCCCTGCATCTGGCGTGTGCAGGGGACAATCCGCTTGCCGTGCGTCTGCTGTGCCATGCTCAGGCCGACATCAATCAGCAAGCCATTCCGGGAATGACCCCTTTCATGGCCGCTTGTGCATGCGGAAGCGGGCGCGCAATGAAGGAGATGCTCACTCTGAACCCACACGTTAGCTTGCGGCACTCTCTACATGTCGCGCTCATGTTCGCTGGAGGCGGATCTGCGGACTCCGTGCCGCTCTTGCTGGAGGCTCGAGCGAACGTGAATGAACAGTTCCGGGTGCAGATCCGGGAGCCGGGTTGGTGGCTTCTAATGAACGTCATGGGTTTGAGGCATCGGGTAAGCCCGTCCCGACTGACCTTGCTGGCATATCATCATTACGATGCTACACCGCTGATGTTCGGCATTCTGAGTGGTTGTCTGGATTCTGTGTCCTCCCTGCTCTCAGCCGGAGCCAGAGTAGACATCCGCAACTACCGCAACAGAACGGCCTCCGAACTGGCGCGCCAGATGCTTGCGCCACCGTGGTTGATAGAGGCCTGCGCGACTGACAGCATCCCTGAGAGCGATACGTTTTTCATTTGAGAGGGGCCCGCAAGGGCCCGCAAAAGGATCAGCCCGAGGCTCTTCCTGACTATAATAACTATGTGAGCTTTTGCAGTCGCGTTCCCAGCTGATGCTGTGCTTGACGCTTTTCCGCGTACTGGGACGACCATACTAAGTAGACACACGCTTGCCATCTCAAGTGGCGAGAGGGAGTCTGGTCCCTGACCCCGACATACCGTCTTTTGGCGGAGGCCTTGAGAAGAATGAGAAAAGGCTGAGACCCGGGTTGACGGTTGAGGGGCCTGTCCTCGTAGGCCTCGAGCGGTTGGGCATCCTATCGGGGGTTCATAGGTATTGCCATATTGCAAGTTTTGAGGAACCGGGTTCAAGGGCTATGCTAGTACGGTTCCGGTGTGTGTTCAGCAAGCCTGAACCAACGGGGCATCCGTGACATCGAAGGACTTCGGCGATTGGGTTGTTTGCAAGTAGGAGGTCGCTCTTCAACGGACTTCTGACTGCTCGAAGGTCTCTATCAGCTTTCAAGCATATAGGCTGTATAGGCTTCGTATCGGGCATGTCAAGACTGGCCCGTCTATCGCATCATGTTTTTGTCCAGGGCCCTGCTATAGCTGACAAATATATCTTTTGCGTCAGAAAGTATAGGGTCAAACATCTTTTACGAGCTATTCTCAACTTGCCCAAGACGAAACCCTATAAATCTAAATTAAGTTAGTTGCAGTCGTACAAGCCCTAAGCCCTACATAAGAAAAAACCTAAGTTAGTTGGAGACAGATATACCCTAAACCCTAAACCCGAAGGGTCACGGACGAAGGACCCTGAGGGCTGCGAAAGGGGGCCTCCCACTTTCGCCCTCAATCGGTTCAGCTCACACACTCAGGTTTCGGATTAAGGGTTTAGGGCATATACAAGTCTGCGCAAAAAGGGTTTTGAATGAGTATGTAGGGTTTAGGAACCACTGTCTCTGTCATCTCACCTCATCCCGGGAAGGCGGGCTTCAGATGCGCGTCCGAAACTGGTTTCGGGCTCCTGGTCGATTCAGGGTTTTGCGTTTCTTTGAGCGGTCGGAACTTTCAACCGTCAGATCGTTGAGAATCTCTCAGCCCAGACCCTAGAAGTGCTTGGTGGGTGGAAGTTGCAGTTGTCGTATCGTTGATCGCTTGCAGAGCATTTTCAAACTTTTCTGTACAGGCGTAGTGTCACCTTCCCAGAGCGGAAGCCGCAGCCTTTATTTTGAAAATACCATGGCCAGCGTGCCTCTTGAGCAGTTTGCGTCGTCGCTGCGCAAACCCAGCAGAAGCTGTTCAGACGCCCGCTCAGGTGCTCCTTCCGTTGTAGTTGTTTCGGGTTGCAGGTTTTGTGACTTTAGCCCCAACTTGTACTGTTGCTGAGTAGGGACCATGGGTAGAAGTTCCTCAGCTCGGCAGCGCACCCTTTGAAACTCAGGCGACCTCATCTTTGCGATGTACACCGTGCCGGCCGACGCCTTCTTGCAGATGACAGAAGTCAAGACGCATGAGGAGCTGCTAGACGCCGGTGTGGTCACAGAGTTTGATGAGAACATGGGAAACGCCATGTTCGTGTCGCACCAGTGGCTAAGTGACACACACCCTGATCCATACTTCCAGCAGCTGCGAACCTTGCAAGACGCGCTGAAGAACATGGTGGCCGGAACCAGTAAGGTGTATTTGCCCGTGTGTTCAGAAATCATGAATGGTCGCAGAAGGTGCCCTACCGCCGATGATTTCGCATCCGGCCTTCATGTTTGGTATGACTACTTCAGCATCCCACAGGGCGCTGCTCGCTCCGAATCCTTGGTCCGCAAGAATGCCATTCACAGCATCCCCTCGTATGTGGCAAGATGCGAGTTCTTTGTGGTGCTGTGCCCGGCATTCACGCACAGAGACCAGGACCGTACCCTGAGCCATGCAACCTGGGGCGAACGAGGGCAGCTGGGTTGCACATGCTTGCATGGTGTCTGTTCTCTTGACGGGTAGTTTTGCTGGGTTCAGTGAGGAGACTGTCGTTTAATGCGCGCAGGCTGATGCAGGCTGAGGCTAGTTCAGGGTTTGAGGCCTCCGATTGTAGGGTTTTGGAACCTTTATGACAGTCTATTCGGCCCGAGGCTTTTAAGTTTGCAGTTTTGAATGGTCTTGGAGCCTCTTCCCAGGATTTTTGCAGGCTTGAGGCTTCATTTTGAAGAGTTCTGAAGCATCTTTTGAAAGGACTCGAATAAATCTACTGGCCTCTGGTTGGCCAAAGACTGGACTTGATTTTGAATGGTTTGGGATCCTTCACTGAGGTGTGGGTTTTGATTTGATTAATATTTGGGAGGCTATCTAGGGGTTCAGAAGAACTACTGCGCTAAATGCGGCGCTACCGTACTGGAATGCACTACTCTACTGTACAACAGTACTACTGTGTTGCTGTACTGCCGTACTGTTGCTGTACTAATGTGCTACTGTACCGGGGTAGGGGCTCTCTGGACCACTACACCCAGTGCCTCGTTGAAGTTAGTCAGACGTAGACTTTCTGCAGCCAAGTCCAGGTGGTGTCGCACAGAGAGAGCTGCACGTGAGCTTTCGACTCGCGGCGGTGGCGGTGGCTACGTCATCGTGATAGAGAGCGCGACACACCAGACACTTATGTGGACGGGAAACAGGATGAGCGATGCACCTGGTGAAGGAGAATTTACACTGGATGCTGACAGAGTGGGGATTGGTCGTATGATCACCCAGATGGTTTGGTCCAAGCTTTTGCATTACCTCGAGCGACGAGAGTATCACAACTACCGGTTCCTTCTCAACTCGCATGCCGCGCGGTACTTCCGAGCCCTTGGCGTGGAGCCCATTGACGGCCTTGTCCCGGGGTTCCAGACTCGTATCGACCCGGGTGTTGATGTCCAGGGCTTCATGCTGGATCGTTTCCTACATCAGAACGGCTTCAGGAGCTTCTCACCAACAATTCCCAGCCCCAAATCTAGCAAAGTTCCATGCCTTTCCTGCCTATCCTCGTTTTCCGCTTCACCCTGTCAGGAACATCTTCGATCGCGATTCTGACGGATGGCCACCTGTTTGCTTCGCAGCGATGAGCAACAACCTCGTGGTGCTGCAAGCTCTTCTTGAACGACGAGTGGATATAAACCAATCCACGAGCAAGCCCAAGGCGGAAATGGGCGTTCTCGGCAAGATCACGGCTCTGGGAATGGCTTCCTTCTTAAGTAACAACGAAGCTGTCGAGCTGCTCCTTTCTGCCAGAGCAGAAGTGAACTACAAGTTTGTGGGTGGTGGCACTGCCCTGCATCTGGCGTGTGCCGGGGACAATCCGCCTGGAGTGCGTCTGCTGTGCCATGCTCGAGCCGACATCAATCAGCTAGGAATACCGGGACTGACCCCTTTCATGGCCGCCTGTGCATGCGGAAGCGGGCGCGCAATGAAGGAGATGCTCACTCTGAACCCGCAAGTTAGCTTGCGGCACTCTCTACATGTCGCACTCATGTTTGCTGGAGGCGGATCTACCGACTCGGTTCCGCTCTTGCTGGAGGCTCGAGCGAACGTGAATGAACAGTTCCGGGTACAGATCCGGGAGACGGGTTGGTGGCTTCTGATGAACGTCATGGGTATGAGGCACCGGGTAAGCCCGTCCCGACTGACCTTGCTGGCATATCATCATTACGATGCCACGCCTTTGATGTTCGGCATTCTGAGTGGTGCGCTGGATTCTGTGTCCTCCCTGCTTTCAGCCGGAGCCAGAGTAGACATCCGCAACTACCGCAACAGAACGGCATCCGAACTGGCGCGGCAGATGCTCGCACCACCGTGGTTGATAGAGGCCTGCTCGACTGACAGCATCCCTGAGAGCGATACGTTCTTCGTTTGAAGGGCTCACACAAGGTTGAGCCCAAGGCTTTTCCTAATTCACTAGTCAGTTCTTACAGTTGCGTTGCCAGCTAGAGCTGTGGTTGACGCTTTTGAATTTCTGCGTGCCGGGACAAGTAGACTAAGTACACATGCCCGATGGCGAGTACCAGTCCGGTGGCTCCGACACATGGCCTTTTGGAGAGAAAACGATCAGAGCAGAGGCTGCTGTGGGTTCGGCGACATGTCCATATGTCCATGTCAGCGAGCCGTCCATGTAATTAACTTACTTAGAAGCCTAAATCATTACCTATACTATTCATTACAATCCCGAAGACTATAATAGAGCACGAAACACTATTCTGATTATTGTAAGGCGGCCATATTAGGCCCCATGACGCGAGTTGTTGGGCATCCTGATGCACGTGCATAGGGTTGACGAATCGGGCTCGGGGGGGCTCCAGGCCTGCAAGGTCGTGCGATCTTTTTCAGCAAGCCTTGCCTAGACCCTCAAATGCAGTACCTTGTATTGGATGACTAATTTTAGGACCAGGATCCTATAATATGAAACTAGGGTAAGCAAAAAAGGTGCTACACTTAAGGGTCTAGGAAACCCCTCAGGCTATGTGAAGGCTGGGGAGCGGATCCATGACATCGTGAAGGACTTGGGCGCTGGGTACTTTGCAGTTGAGTTCCTTGCGGAATGGATCTCTTACTGTCCTGAGGGCGGCTTCCCACAAAAACGAGAACCTGGCCCGTCTAACTGCTATTAGTTTGACAAAGTCCTTGGTGTTCAAAGTGGCCTCGCCCAAATGGCCCAACAAGAGCCTCCAGTTGGTTGCAGCCCTAAGCCCGAAATCCTGAGCCTAAGTGCTATATAGGCTTGACTTTAGTTGCAGCTAAAATACGTCTCAAGTGGGTCAGGGACGAAGGGCAGAGAGCTGGGGTGCACGGATTGAACATTGAAAGGGTTAGAGTTATAGGTCGAGGATCGCAGATGTTGCAAGATGACCCTAACCATCGCACGCTTGAAAAAACACTGGATTTCGCTTGAAAATACCAATCGATTCTGCTGCGCTTGAAAATACCATGTGCGCTTGGCATTTTCTATCGGACCCGCTAGGAATCGGTTGGGATGCTATTTTCTCCGCTAGGTTCTCCGCTAGGTTTTTATCATCGATTCCGCAAGGTTTTTTCATCAACGATTTCGCTTGGTTTCCCGTGCCCAGCACACCAAAAACATCGAGCCCAACCCGGAATTCTGAAGCACACAGGTCTTCACAGGTTTTCACAGAATTTCACAGGTTTTCACAGAATTTCACAGATCTTCACAGATTAGTCTGTGAAGATCTGTGAAGATCTGTGAAATTCTGTGAAGATCTGTGAAAACCTGTGAAGATCTGTGAAAACCTGTGAAACCAGAAATCGCAGGCTTCAAGCCCGGTCAAACACCCGTGCTCCTGAATGCTCCGCTTGGTTTTTGCTATATGCTGCTATTGGTTCCCCGCTAGGTTTTTGTTTCGCTTGGTTTTCACAGAAAACTAGTGGATCCGCTTGAAAATATCAATCGGACCCAATCAGCTTGAAACTACCAATCGAATCCGTTTTTTTCTGTCGGCCGATGGATAGGGGAGGCAAAAACTCATTGGCTGCAAACTCAACTTTTCGACTGTTGGGGTTCTTGTAAGGTAGTCGATTCTGAAAGTTTCAACGTTTATTTCCTTGGGTTTTGGGCCAGTGAGAAAACAGACCCTATGAGTACTTTAGTTTTTTTCGCCTTTGGTGTGGTGACGCCGGGTTTAGGTTTTAGGGTTTAGGGTTAAGCCTTAAACCCGAAGGGGATCATCCGATAAAATTGGAACGATACAGAGAAGATTAGCATGGCCCTGCGCAAGGATGACACGTACAAATCGAGAAGTGTACCAAGTCAAACTCTCAACTTCCGCGGTCCTGCGAGCACACTGATTGCCCGAGAGCCCAATACTCGTTGCTGATGGACTGTTCGCTTTGTCACGGTTGGGTATCATTCTAATTTTTAAAGGTGCTTATAAGCCCAAGAAGGAATAGAAGCTCGATTTTTAGAATTATCCCAACCATGGACTAGTTCCCTTGCATCTCTAAAAGAAGCTCTTTCGAGCCCAAACTTTAGGCCGAGCCTCGTCTCTGCTGGCTTATACACTTCAGGGCTGAGTATAGCCCCGCTGATCCTCGAAGCCTAGGGGTACTTAGAAATATTTTTTTGGTTTTTTTATTAGTATAATCCCTAAGAAACAGCTATAATTATAATTTTTGCTAGGGTTCTAAGGTACGTATAATGTACCTGTAGCCCGTAAACCCAGAACCTGGACTGGAGCTCTTTCGGTTGCGAGGAGGGACAGCCGAGCTTTGGCATGGGCAAGGAAGATGGACAAGACGGAAAAAGATTGTCTTCGATTGTCTGCGTGCTCCGTAGGAATCCATTTTCAGTCTGTTCGTATAACATATTATGCCGAAGAGATCACTAAGAAGAATATGTTTCCTTGGGGTTTGTTCAGGGCTTAGGATACTGGAGTGGCCAGTATTATTCCGAGCACTTTCTTATTGTGTATTCCTACAAAGCCATATACTCTGAATGTTTATTACAGTATTACCCAACAGAGCTATTCCAAGTGTTGGACTGTGGGGTGTAGGTTTTGGGCCTTTGGGCGTTGTGGGATTGGAGGTTTCGGGGGCGTTGAACTCAGCAGAGGCTCCTCGGGCCCTCGTTGAACCTACTATAAGGGCCTACCTTGTTGCCTACTTATCGCATACCGGGCCGCAGAACCCTATTCTAATTATTAAGGGCTCTCTATTATGATGCTAATTTGACAACCACCCGGGATGCTCTTTAGACTCCACCGGCCGGGTCTTTAGCCACAAGTGAAGCACCCTGTCCTTACATTCTGTTCAACGCCAGTAAAATGGTAGACGCACCAGTGGATCGACCCGATGCTCCCAAAATAGAAACAGAACAGATTCAAAGACATGCGACACGGAATGCTCGCTAGAGCTTCAAGTATAATAGGGGCCTAAGATAATTGCCGTTTTCCGTGTTATAACTATAGTATAACGGGGCCCAAGACCCTATTCCATTTAATCCGTTCATCCTTTTATAAACCCCCCTTCAAACAAACTTTAATCTTTAATATTAGGGGGATTTCGGGTGGTTTCAGGCTGGATTTTCCGAAGTTCGAGTCTAGAATTTTCTTCTCCCAGGCAAGGGTGTGCATCTAACGAACAGCATGGTGTTTTCATTCGCCTAGCCTGGGAGTTCCGGATCGAGACAGTAATGAAACATGCAACATCTGCCGGAACTCCCAGGCTAGGCCAGTGAAAGCACCTAAAGTCCCGAGGCTAGTGTCAGTAAAAAAATACCAATCCGCACCCAGGTGGCTTCTTGCAGGCAGAGCCCAATCCACACCCAGTCCAAAATGATCCCCATAATATATAAAAATTCTGTGTTAAAAATGGCCCCAGCCTGCGAATATCCAATTCTCCATGCCGGCCGTTCCAATTCCAAATGCGGTCTATCCAAAACTAGACCGCTAAACCCCGAAATTCCCGCATCCGGACTCCCGCGGACCTCCCTGGGACGTCGCGTTGCCACCGCAAATGCCAACTTTCCAAATGCACTCGTGTCACCCTAGCCTGATATTTCCAATCGCATCATGCCGATCCGGGATCCTTTCGGGGTTTGTTTAAGGGATCTATATGGGTTCTATAAAGGGCTTAGGGTGTAGAGTTTCCGAAAGTTCGGGGAATCCTATTTTGGGTCCTTATAATAAGAATCCTACTATTTAGGGTGCTGTATCAAGGTACCTTATCTTCGGAAACCCGCATATCCTTCCACCTAGCCTGAACCTCGATATCCCGGGTTTAGGGTTCTCCTTTAAGGAACCCTTTCAAGGGTTAGTATGTTACAGTGAGGCTAGTAGAAGGCCACTTGCACGCACTTACACTTTTTGGTTAAGGGTTTAGGGTGCTTCTGGACAACGAGGCCTGCTGCAAAAAGGGTTTACGGTTTGGGGTTTAGCACACATTTACACTTTTTGGGCTTCCGAAAAAAAAAGGCCAATACTACAAGCCCTTAAGCCTCTTAACCCATGAAACCCTTCAGCCCTTAAGCAGAAAAAATCGAGACCGACCTAACACCTGGTGAGCTCCGTAAGCCGCAAAACCCCATAACAACACACCTACCTCTTGAACCAAATCCATGTAAGTCTCCACGTACCTATATCAAGTTTACATATCGCTATGTATATACATATATGTATATATATATATATAGAGAGAGAGAGAGAGATCTAGATCTATACATGTATGTGTATATATATATATATATATATATATATTAATATATATATATATATATATATATGTAGGAGTCCCCTTTAAGGCCCAAGGAGTTTTAGGGGACGTTCTTCTTGCATCAGGCTCCTCTCCCACGCTCGCCCTCCTCCCCGTCGCGGCCGGTGCCTGCGCCCTGTGCCGATTTGCGCGGACGAGCCTCCGGCGGACCATAAGGGGACTCTAAAGTTTAGGGTTCAGGGTTTAGGGACTCTGGGGTTTAGGATTTAGGGTTTAGGGACTCTAGGGTTTAGGGTTCAGGGTTTAGGGACTCTGGGGTTTAGGGTTTAGGGTTTAGGGACTCTAGGGTTTAGGGTTCAGGGTTTAGGGACTCTGGGGTTCAGGGTTTAGGGACTCTGGGGTTTAGGGTTTAGGGACTCTGGGGTTTAGGGTTTAGGTGCTCTAGGGTTTTGGGTTTCAGGGTTTGGGTTTGGGGAGGAACCTCGATGAAAGATAAGGTCATAAGGGTTCCGTTAAGGGTTTGAAGGGATCTGTTTTGTTCGTGTGTTATACTATGGGGTTTCGGGTTCGGGTATAAGGTTTGCGATTTAGGGTTCAGGGTTTAGGCTTAGGTTGGGAGAAAGAAGCCTGCTGCAGAAAAGGGCTTAGGGACCATAGGGTTTGGGGTTTAGAGTTTAGGGACTATACCTATAGTCTCCAGTGTAGTTCCTTTTTGGGGTTACCTTTTAGGATCCCTAATAGAAAACTGGTTAAACCAAGAAAAGGAACTACAATGGAGACTATAGGTAGGGTCCTATCATAGGATCCCTTTTAAGGGTGATACCGGGTTCTGCCCCTGAAAAGGGTGCAGCGTTCGGCTTCAGAGCTCGGTGGAGTTGTTGTGGATTACGGGAGGAGGCTTTCACCAGACTTTGGCTTTTTAAAAGCTTATGTCTATAGTTGTTTTTTTTTAATAGGTTTTTTAAAAGCCTATGTATAGTTTTTAAAATAGAAAATCTGTTTTGTAAACAGCCTATGTATTTGGCCAGGTTAGAGAGATGATGCTGATGAGTCCAAGTCCAAGTCAGTCTAGAGTGCAGAGGCAAGAGTTTCACAGTACACATTCAGCACAACCCTATCACTAGGATTTTGGGGTTTAGGGGGTTCAGGGTGAAAGGGTACTGGATAATTCAGGGTTTCGGTAAAAGGGCACGTTCAGTAACCCGATCAAACTGCAAAGCTTTCAAGTTGTAGGCCCCAAGCAGGGTTCAGGCTGACTGTGTTGCGCGCAACGGTGGAAGAACCCATTTTAGGGAATTGAATAGTCAGTAGCAGTATCCCTTATAGTTCCTCATTGCCTTAACTATGTACCTAGTTAACTATTCTATCTACGCCTCAAAACCCTATATCCGCAATACCAAGGCCCGCATATCAAACTCCTTTGGATTACAGTTTGAGCAGATACCCAGAGAGCCCAATACCCCTTAATTAAGGAATCTACCGTAAAAATATAAGGGGGCGCATAATATGATTTAGAAGATATTCTTTAATTTAAGGGGTATTGGGCTCTCTGGGTACTTCACCGCCGCAGCCTTCGCCCCCAAGGTTAAGCTTTATCAAAGGGGAAAAGGAGGGACCTTTAATAAGGACCCCTAGGTAATATACCCTTAATATGGCCATTATATACTCATTATATAGCCCATTGTAGGGTAGGGGTCCCCATTAAGGGTCCTCCTTCACCCCTTTGACCAAGGTTAAGCTTTAGGTTTGGGGGTGAGGGCTTAGCTTGGCAAATGCTGCGCTGCAAGCGGAGAGTGGAGATATCTGCTGGCCGCAACCCCGAAACCAATCTCTGGAGCCCTTCCATTCCATAAACCCTGAACCCCCCTGGATTGTCCGACTGTGAGCGCCGAAACGCTCTAAGCCAGATGGCCGTGACTCCCGTGACTCTAAGACCCCAAACCTCGAATCCCAAATCCTAAACGATCCTAAACCCCAGATGCTAAAACCCTAAACCCCATCATTGCCCTATGCCCTACAACCCTTAAAGAGGGAAGCTTCAAAACCCTAAAGCGCTATATAATGCGTGGAAGCCTTGGAGTCCCCCGACTCAGAAGCCTGAGGATTGCAAGAGCTCGGCTTCGAGATTCCCAGCGCCTCGATCGATTGGGGATCGGTTTAGGGTTCAGGTTTAGGGTGCAGCCCTGAACACCGAATATACTTTAGAAGCTGCTCCCACCCTGTAATAGTGACTATAAGGATTATATACTAGGGCCCTACTATACTCCTATTATACCAAATATGCTAGATTTTTTAGGGTTTAGGGCGCCTGAATAGTTCCTGAGTATGACAGTACGACTAATTATACCATAACATCCCCCCCCCCCCCCCCAGCCAGCCTATTCTAATGATGAAGGCCCTCATACAAACACTGCCCCCTTGAAGGCTCGATGTACCTATGTGGCATATACTTAGACCAGAAATACCTATGCGGGAGCCTCTTGAATGCCTTTATAAGTGTGTGTGTATATATATGTATATACATACATATGGTCACATGAATGGAGCCTTAGAGTGCTTGGGGCTCCTGCAAATGATTTCCTGGTCATGTTCCTTTGGAAGGGTGGGGTGTGTGGGTTACAGGGGTTACAGGTCTCACGGAGTACAGGGTTTGGGAGTTTAGGGTACCCCCTTGAGGTTATCCAATCTGCTGGATAGGATGCACTGGCAGGGAATCAGATAATTCCCACAGGATAGCTAGAACTGGAGATCCGAAAAGGCCCCAGGGGGGCGGATTTTCTTCATCGGTCATGCGGACGGTAGCAAAGCGAGACACTTGGTGATTAAGGGATTAGATTCTTCACGCGCAGCCGAAAAATGGTCAGGTTGTTTGGACCCGCCAACCCCAAACCAATGGAGTAGGAAAACAGAAAATAAAGGCCCAACTGTTTTGATCACGCTTGTGAGTGTCACGAAGCCCAAGAGCCCCAAACTGTCCCAAACTGGCGGAGGTTGTAGGGCCAGGGGGCCAAAGGGCTTCAGGGCTAGATCTGAGTTCTGGGTTTAGGGTTTAGGGTTTGTGGTTTAGGGTTACGGGATTTAGGGTTAAGGGATTTAGGGTTTAGGGTTAAGGGATTTAGAGTTTAAGGTTTCAGGTTTAGGGCTTAGGGTTCAGGAGATGTTTGAGTTGTGGATGTTATCGAGCCCAACCTCGGGTGGGTGGGTTTGCAGAGTATGTGCTCCACTCTAAACCCGATGTAAACCTGCTCGAAGATGTCTAGGACCCCAAACGTCCCAAGCTGTAAACCCTATACAAACCCTAAGTCCTATATGAACGCAAAAATAAACCAAAGCTCTAGCTAACCCCTTACCCTTAGTCGCCTTAATCTTCGTAGGCTCATGCTGCCTCAACGCTGCCGTTTTGATTTCGGCTTCGAGCCTTAGAGCTTAGCTCTTTGTTGGGTAGGTGCGGCTGCTTCGAGGCTTTCCTCCTTTTGTTGGTGGGAGGGGCGGTTAAAGGGTCCAGTGAAGGTGCTTAATTACACTACACGTAGCAAGTGAAGGACGGACGCCTAACAGAATCATCTTCTGGATTGTTCGAAGGTTTGGGAAGTCATCAGGACGGAAGTCCTTCATAGTCGTCTTCGAGGCTGTTCCCAGACGGGTTCCCTTCGATTCATACTTAGGGAAACTTAGGGGTTCCTTTATCAAAACTTCCTTCTCTGCCCCTTGTTGCTTTCTGAAGCTTTCATAATATGGTCTAGTTTTCATATAAGGCTTCCGGCTGCCCCACCTCCGCTTAAGCTGTCTGAGTCCGTATGCAGTACGTATTTGCCAGCTTGCTATCGGGGTTTCAGACAAGCCCGAGTAATCCAAGCCTCACGCGTGGTCAGCCTTTTGATCTTCGAACCGTGAACACGCAAACATCTTGGGAGCCCGACACCCTGTGGCAGTCTTCTGACGGCCCGGATTGCACTGAATTTCACATATTCAAAGCAGAAAGCGCAGGTTGGAGTAGCAGTGGACGCTATGCTCTCGCCCACGGCCGAGCATCTTGGCTTTGCTCTGGAAGTCGCGTACTCGAGCTTTCAGCGTTCGCTCGGAGTTGAGGAGGGCGTGCAGGATTTGAAAGACTAGGGATGATGATTAGTGTTCAGGTATCAGTATGGGCTAGGTGCAGGGGTCGTAGTTGAGAGGTGCTCTGGCTCCTTCAAGCCTGGAACACCAGCACGACCAGCACCACGAACGCCACCGCCAGCAGGAGCATCAGCACAAGTAAAACAAAAGCATCATCGAAATCGTGGCATCACCGCCATCACCACACCATCATCACCATCGGACCGATTCCCCTGATCTCTGTGTAGTGGTCATGACGATGATGATGATGATGATTCCAATGGAGGCTGCGGCTGGTGATGTTCTTCATACTTCTCATTCTTATCATCATCATTACCATCACCATCATCCTTGTCTGATGTGACGTGTCCTCTCCCTTTGCTCCTGTTGCTGCCTTCATTTGGCCTTTATCTTCATCGCTGCATCCTCCACTACTCTGAGCTTGTTGCCGACACCCCATCCTGCCTGACAACGAGTCGCAGGATTACAAGCTCGCGCGTGTCAAGTCCTTGCGCAGTCAAGTGTGGTGAAGCGCTACGCCGTGGCTGGAGCCGAGGGCGTCAACATCCGCTTTCCAGAAAAAGGACCCGCCCAGAAACCATCTGAGACCCCAAACCCGCGGCCCACTTCCCTGGGCCTTAAACCCTAAAACCCTGCAGCTGAGGCCTGGTTTCTTCCCAGCAGATATGGCCCGGTCAGACAAGGACATCTCCTTCGATAAGGCGGCTTGCACTTTTGGCTTTAGCGTTTAAGGTTGCTTCGGGTTGGAGTTTTTTTCGGCCGGGGGTTTAAGACTCGTCATGTATCAAGCTTTCTCGGTTCGGACTGAAGACGTTCATGTTCACCAATTTTCGCAGGTTCACTTCTCAGCCCCAGCCGGATCTTAGATGATAGTCTCTTTATAACCTGGCACATTCAGAAAGGATGAGCTTTCTCACGGCTGTCTGACGCAAGCTCGAAACCTTAGACCCAAAATCGCCCCAAAAGCTTTAACCTCCACAAACCCTATGATCCGTAAACCCAAAGCCCAATTGAAACCCTGCCCTAATCCTAAACACTAGTTGTAGTATGGTATACCCCCCAAAACCCTATTCTACTTGTTGAGGCCCCTACATGTCTCACTCTTGAATTCACTTGTACAGTTCTGCATTAGGCACGTCCTGCGGACCTTCAGCCCGACCGAAAGAAAGAAGGCCCCTACATTCCGCAAGCAGGTGGCCTTTCAGCGAGGCGCTTCTTGGGCAAGCACTGACGTCGGTGCAAGCCCTCTGAGGCCGGGTGTAGGGTTCAAAGTAGCTACCTATAGTCTCCATTATAGTTCTTTTTTTTGGTTTAACCAATTTTATATTAAGGATCCTAAAAGGTAACCCCAAAAAGGAACTACAACGGAGACTATAGGTAAGACTTCAGCTTAGGGTTTGGGATTATCAACCAGTGCTATTCCGAGGGTTCCTTCATGTACTCGTAGTCTTACTATATCTCAACATCCTTTTCTAATTATTCAAGCCTCTATTTTGGAGGAGCGGCATGGCTTGTAGAGGCCATAGCTAGTTTGGTCGTTTGAATCTCCTCTTTGCGTGTCGCTGGTTGGTGGTTCAACGGTGGTTCTCTTTTGCGTGGCATCCAGGAAGTCAAACTGCAAGCGGTCTAAACGGGAGCGAGCATTCAGGACACCTCAGCAGCCGAAGCCCAACCTGAACGACGTTTTAAGACTTTAAGGCCCTTACTTTCATTCCGAATATCAGTGAAATCCTCCACTTTGTTTCACAAGCAGGGGCCTCTGGAGATCTCCATCTGCCCGAAACCCCAACCCCGAAACCTGAGGTGGCCTTACAGAAGCCCTGGTAGCAGCCGTTACCTCGGCTTTGCCGCAGGAACCTGTCACCAATGTCACTACCGGACGCAGAGCAGGCAGACTTTCAGGCAGTGCGGTGGGTGTGGGTCTTTCGCATGGGTTCTTTTGCGTGTAAACCCTGAAGGAGGGCAACAAAATGAACCCGGAAGAACAAACCGAAGCCCGAAACCCACAGCTCTGCAAGAGCAGCACAGCTCTTTCGACTGTTGTTTCAGGGTTACCCTGCAATGCGGGCTTTGTCGTTGCTAGGTAGGAGGGGAGACAAAACGCTGCAAGTAAGCCAGTTACTGAACTTCCGAGCTGTACCCTAGGATCCGGCAACAAAGGTTTAGGGTTTAGGATTTAGGGTTTCAGTGGCAGTTGCCGAGTGATTCCACAACAACCCAGAAAGGCTGCGACTACTGCCAGCTACCACTGCCATGTGTAACTCCACAAGCCATGTCTCGCCCTGAGCTTTGTAGCGCAATCGTCTTCGTTATCGCACTCCAGAAAACTTGAAGCCCAAGAAGATCTGTCAGATACCCTGGCAGTGCTCTGCAGTTTTGGGATCGAAGGTGCAGATGTGCTTTTCAAGGGTAGATTGTTTGTTCATTGTGTCGGTTGCTTCTTGCAGAAGCCCTTTGCAAACCCATGGCCTCTCACGGCTCTTCAGCTTAACATCACCGTGTGAGGCAAGTTAGGGCCACTTTGCAACTCGGCACCATCAATCCTTGGTTCGAGGCACCAGTCAGAAACACATTCTAATTACAAGGAAGGTAAAGAAGCCTGTGAAGCCTTCCTTAAATAGCACCTAGCCTCAATCCACAGTTTCTGAAACCCGCAGGCCCCCCCACGCTGAAACCTCTCAGCACCCTAGCATAGGCGCCTAAATAGTTACCAATACTGTTTTGGGGGTTCCCTTATTACAATTATGGTATAGTATAACCTGCCACAACACCCTATCCTAATCATTAAGGCCCCTATTGTAAACCCTAAACCCTCCCTGGCATTCTGTAGCACATTTGCAGACGGAGAAAGGGCCTTCAAACAACAAGACCCTCCCTGGCAGGCAAAGTCTCCCATGGAACAGCAGGACCGTGTCAACCGCTCACCAGCTCGCAAGCCCATGTGCCTCGGTCTCTGGAGTCGATAGAACCTATCTTAGGGGTACTGAGAATTGTTTTTTGTAATTTGGGGTTATTATAATCCCTAAGAAACAGGTAAAATTACAATTTTGCTAGGGTTCTAAGTTCAGTATAGATGTAGAAATACACACACACAAATATAAATACAAGAAACATTACATATATATATATATATACATACATACATACATATATACACATATACATATACATATATGTGTACAGTTATATATAATATCGTGAATTGTGCAGGATAGGCCCGAAACCCAAAACCGCTAAAAAGTGCGTGATGACCGCTTCCCCGATTGTTAAGTTTCACTCTTCCGACCTCGAACATGGACTGTCCGAGTGTGAGCGCCGAAATCCCCACCCGATGACCGAACAAAGAAGGAACAGCAAAGACTCCAGGATATTCGGCTTGAGCCTTGAGGCATTAGCGCGGGGTTCAGAAAATCAGGGGATTGTGTTATTACAAAAGACTGGCATGGGGCTTTATACTAAAGAATCTGTTGAGGGTTTTAAAGGGCTTCGCAGGTTTCTTGCACTAGGGATTGCATGAACTCAATTAGAGGTTCCTCCTCTCCCCATAATGCTGCGTCCTACGCTTTCTTTCACATTTTCAATTCTTGGAATTCTTGGCGCCTCGATATTTAGAAGCAGGCGCTTAGCGTACGGTACACTATGTACATAGGGACACAAAACTGAACAATGTGCTACAGTAAGCACTTAGGCTGCAAAAGTACTGGTCCCCAACCCCAGCCACGTCGCGAGACAGGTCCTGTCGCCTTACGAAGCAGCGAGCCCTAGCACTGCAAGTGGAGCTGCCTCTCGCCTATCCGGGGTAGACTTCCACGGTTTAGGTTTCAGGTCTTTGGGGCTGCTGGCTTGGTCGCGGGAGCAACGCTGATGATGTTGGAGATGGCGAGGTGGGTGCCAATAGTGTTGATGACGATGAATACGGCAAGAGTTCTGTCAGCAACACTTCCTGAAGGACTTAGCGCTCCCATCTGCGCCCAGTCCATGCACAAGAACCCAAAAACCCTAAGTCCAGATTACTCCCGCATATATAAGTACCCCATGGTAGCCAGCATAGTAACCCTTATGCAGTCGTTTGTAGAAAAACCTCGTATGACCTTGAGCATGCTTGGAGGGTCTTTAGGAGACTTAGTAACTGGTTATTTTATGGACTTATAAGTACCATAACCCCAATTAGGGTCCCTTTTAGGGAACTTATAAGTCTACTTACTACCTACTTACTAAGTCCCCCGACCCTCCAAGTGCTGAAAGATCAGAACTGGTTCCACTCCACGGTGCCCGAACCCCCACGGATTGAATTGCACAGACCCTGACGTTGAAAATGATGCTGGCAACAGCTACGATGGCAAAAATGTTAGCTACAGAGGGTGGATATCCAAAACTAGCCCTTGAATCTTTAAGCCTCAACCCTATACAAACGCTGAACCTCGCAAAGTCTACTAGGGCAGTTCTGTGAATTTTGGTCCGTCTTGGGTCCCCAATATAGTGCGACGCCCTTATGAAAAGAACCCTAAAGGGACCTCTCCTCGATCGGAGGCTTGCTGCGTTCAGCTCGGCACGGTTCCAGAAGAAGTTGCAGGCTCTGATCAGGCCTGCGTGTTTGGGCTTGCCAGTGCCTGAGTGGGCATGTGGCTTTCCTCGATAAAAGTAGGGTCCTTTTTGATCCTACCCTGCAACCCAAGCGTTGGATTCTCTACTGCTCTTTGTCTACTTGCTTGCTGAATCCTGCTTGTCACGCTTCTAGAGTAATGTCTGCTTCAAGGTTCTTTATATGTCTAGTGTAGGAAGTGAGTCCTTAAAGTGGGGCTCCTTATCATAAGGATATTACTGTGCCCTTAAAATTGTGCCCAAAGACCCTATTCTAATTGTTAGCCCCTAAACCTTAAAAATCTAAAGCCCCAAGCCCTAGCAGTACCCCCCCCATCGCCCTTTAATGGAGCCCTTATGGCCCTTAATAGTGGGTATTTGGGGTATATTAGAGGGTAGTTGGGGGGGTCTAGGTAAACCCTTGCAGTAGCTCTCGTTTCGCCTTTTTGCTCGAAAGGCTAGTCACCCATGCGTCGATCCGGGTGTAGAAATTAGCTAACAATTGATAATGGAGGAGCTAAGGGGCCAGGGGTGATGATAATCACTAGTTAGTAAGGAGCTAAAGAGCCAAGGGAACCCCAAAACCATAGGTTAGTGAGGGCTTAGCGGGATGCAAAAAGGATTGCTGGTTTCAGGCCCTGTAGATGGCAAGCTTCATAGCAGGACAGGCATGATCATGTGCTACTATGAAGCTTACACAAACAGGGCCCGGACAGTATCGATTCCTGAGCGTCTCGGTGTTTTGGGTTTGGCGGTTCCGTTTGACACTTTGCTGAGATCTGGGCTTCATGGGCTTGCATCTTCGCTGTAAAGGCTTTGGGGCTGAGGATTTGCTAAACGGTCTGTAGGCTTTAAGATTTAGGCTGCAGGTCTGTTTTTGTTGCTGGTATGCTGGGGTTGGGTTTGATCCAGGCGGTTTGAGTGTTGCAGCTCGGGTTCCAAGAGTGGGCTGGATGAGGGGGTTCGAGGAAGTGTATCCATATATGGCGTACTACATTAGTTTATAATCCAATATCACATTCTTACAAAACGACCCTAAAGCCTAAACCCTGAATGGTGCTCAAAATAAAGATAGTGGCATAACAAAACATACCACGGTGTGTCTTGAACTGGAGCTCTGCAGGCTCGTGAGCTGGCTCATGCTTTGGACCTGTGGCCTTGCTCACAATCGCCTTAACACACATTCCGCGAGTTATTCATGTGGGTGGTTGTCAAAATTATGGTCCTTTTTGGGGGTCCTTATTATAGTACGGCACCTAATATTTAGGGTACCCCAAAGGGGCCATAATTTTGACAACTCCCCATGTTCTGTTCTAAAGGTCATCAACTTCTGATCAGTGTAGGACGAGCGTGTGGTGCCCATGGTAAACCTCAAGCTTTTCAAGAGGGACCCGAAAGACATAATATTACTTGCTTGTACCACCTCGATTGATGCTTTGCCCAGTTATGTGCATGCAGCGCCCCCGAAACCAACACGAGCCACTGGCCAGGCAAGAAGGCAGCATATGAGGATTCAACTGTCGCCCAATGGGCCCAAGTCGAGCCTGCTAGAGTCCGAAACCTGACACTGCGGCAAGGCCAGCTACAAGGCGTTTAGGCTTTAAGGTTCATGATGTGGATTTCGAAATAGCTACAGATACAGTTGCTTTCTACCCAGAGGCCCCAAACTAGTTCCTTTTTGGGAGCACCTTATAGGATTCTATATATGAACCCCAAAAAAGGAACAACTTTGGGGCCTGTGGGTAACTTATTTGTAACCCCGGACCTACCCTAGCTCGCCAGGAAAGACGCTGACAAGGACAGCAGCGACTTCCACAAGAGCCTGCGGATTCTCGGTCTTCGCAATGCAGGGTTGAGGTCTGGCTGTGCACGCTGTGAAACGGTTCGATTATGGATTAAAGATACCGCAAAGATATTATGTTATACTATACTTGTAATACTTTCATTATGCTATATTATACATTATGTTTTACTATATTATACTGGCCAGAAGCTTGCAGCCCAAACCCATAAGATCACTTAGTGATCTTATGGGTTTGGGCTGCAAGCTTCTGGCCTTCAGGTAGAGGTCTGTTCAGAGCCCTCTGCAATGGGGTCGGTGCCTATTCTTCTTGGTTTGGCTCTATCTGGCTGGTATTGAATTACTGGCAGAGGCATCGGCCCGGGCCAAGATGTTTTCTTGCGGGTGGCTTGCTAATCGTGGCAGCTTTTGAAATTTTCGAAATGTATACATATTTATGCGATTTAGTTTTGAGATTTGAGAATGAGCTGGGGGCGCGACCTCGTTTTCCAGGGTCTTGAGAGTCATAGGGATATTGTTACAAAAATGCCGCTGCGATGAGCTGTACCTTGGGTATCTGTTAAGTTCTGTCGATACTGACAGTCACACTTGCAGTGCTGCGCAGTTTGCCTTGTATGACGGCCGTGCGAACAATCGAAACATGACAGCAGCCGTGCAATCTCAATATAGAGGCTTTAATAGTTACTATACAATCTTGGGGGGCTCCTTATAATTGTAGTATCATTGGCCCCAAAACCACATTCTAATTACGAAGGCCCCTATATTATGTGGTCTAGCAAAGACTGTCAGAGTCGGTCCAGGGAGAAGCCATGGTCCCTTTTGTCAATAGCTGGGCGCCTGATTCCATTCAAAATGCTGGCACTCGAAAGCCAAGAGTGACCGCATAGTCGAGAAGCTTCTTGGGGGGGTTATTAAACTATAAGGATAATAAGGAGCCCCCAAATTATTTAGGCCCCTATCTTAGGGCGTTCTTTGGTCTTGAGGTGCCATATCGTGTCAATCCGCATCGCACAACACAGCAGGCCACCACTTAAAGCCCTTGGCCACCAGAACTCGGAACACGACGCCCGAAACTCCAAGCCCTAAACTCATAAATCCACTTCAACCCTAAACCCATCAGCTCGAAACTCTCAAGGAAAATCATGCGAAAGCCCCAGCAGGACCTCGGGCGATTCAAGCAAGTCGGGACTTTTGCGTTCAGGGTTTCCTGTGTGGGGGTCTATAGGCATGGTGTGGGCGGCGGGTTTTTGCTGAGCTTGGCTTGCATGCTGATTTTGTTCACGTGGGCTCTTTCCAAGCACATTACAATGAACTTGTTATATATATGTATGTACGTACGTAAGTATGTATGTATGTGTGTGTATGTACATATGTATGTATGGGTGTACGTATGCACATGTACGCATGTATGTATACAACCACATCACTGCCGTCTGATGCTTGTCGCTGTTTCCTCGGCTTATTTGGCATGTGCATGCAGCTTGCCATATTGCATATGTCTCACTTCAAGCCCGTGCCCCTGCAATACGCAGCACGTTCGGTGGAGGGTTTAAACTCTCAGCTTGATTCCCGCCTATCAACCTGGCCAGTAGTTTGCGAATGAGATCGTGATTCTGGGAGAACCCAACAGTCTGGGATCGAGGGTTCGAGGGATGATGTATCATCAATAGCTTTGGGGAGTCTGTTGATACCTTTTGTATCCATTGTAGTTTCTTTGGGGGGGGGGTTACCTTTTAATAAGCCAAAAAAAAGAAACTACAATGGAGACTATAGACAGACTTCAGGGCTCTGGACTGTCCCAGTCTCGGACCCTCATCCCCCGATGTCAAACGTCCACGCGACACGAAATCCTACCTGGAAAGCAGCACGCCATTCGAAACCGAAAGGGTGCACAAGGTATTCACATGATCAGAAATCTTTCGGAGTCTTCGTAAATGCCGTAAATATTTTTCATGTGGAGGCTGGCAAGGGGGTGGGGGCATTGAGCGCGCCAGGACGGAACCTAAAAGCGAAACCTCTTGACTCGAATCCCTACCTACAACAGCATGAGTAGGTTCTCAGGCCATGGAGAATCTATAGCTTACCGTGACCTGGCAATCCCTAAGCCGAGTCACAGGAGATCATCGCGCAATATGGCTTTGACCCGTCGGAGGAAGGCATTGAGGCATCATTGTCCGATGGATGCCAAAGGGTGAAATGGAAGTAGTAGACGGCCCACACTAATGGGTGCAATCATTGTAACCATCCTAAAGTATATAAATAGCCAAAATACTGGTACTTAACAATAATTGATAGTAGAAAGAAGAGGTTGCTGATGGGGTTCCAGCAGGTTTTACGCGATTCACTGTGAGGTTGAAATGAAAACATTGCTTGCTGAACCTACTGCTCTTTAGTTTCCTTGGATTCAGAGGTGGTGGGGGCAACAGCCGCAGACTTGGGTTGGGAACAATTGCCCAAACCTGCAACTCAGCAAGCACTGTTAAACTGTTGAGCGTGCTAAATAATGCCCAAACCCCGTGCAGCAGAGTCGCATCATACTATGTTACATTGTATTGCACTGGGCTAAATTATAACTCCATGCTACATCACATTATGTTCTACTGCATCCTATTGTTGTACTGTTTTATGTTAAATTCTATCATACAAGATGTTGTTACATTACATCATGTGTGTTTACATTACCTTCTGCGCTCTTATGCTATAATGTACTATTATTTCATCATAGACTAGTATAACACATTTTACAAAGCAAGCTACTTGGGATGCAGTGCTTCCTTTATTTATCTTGACGCTTCCTTAAAAACTCCCCAAACCTCGAACCTAAACCCTAAAAGCTTAATTAATGCGAGAGGGGAAAAACCTGAAGCTTTAACTACTCAAGCTAAAAGAACCCAGGCCCTAGAGTAGAAGCCGGAAAGTTGGAAAGCCAATAGCCTCAATCCCTAAGAGTAATATGTAGGGAATCCCCGGTTTCCAACTTTATGAGATTTGCTGTATTTGGAGGTTCATGGTTAGTTATAAGTGGGGTTATAAGTAGGATAACTATAGTTATAACCCCTTTTAGGGACTTATAGCCCTACTTATAACCACCCATGGTTAACCACTTAAGTTCGTGGCTCGTTGCTGGCCAGGAGATGACACAGGCGCTCAAGGAGCTCGAGGATGATGCAGACATTTACGTACCTTGGTTTTAACGCAAGGGCCTTAATAATTAGAAGGGGGGTTCCTTGAAAGGGGTCTATAAGGGTTACTATAAGGGTACTACAATGTAGGGGCCTGAATAGTTACCTATACGTAGTATTTTGGGGGTTCCTTACTATAATCACGGTATAATGGGCCCCAAAACCCTACTCTAATTATTTAGGCCCCTATAGTAGGGCTCTCTTACAGGATTTCAGTCGCAGGGCTCTTGGGGTTGCGTTCTGTTGCTGGTTCGACTGCTTAAGGCGACCCGACAAGTATGCGAAATGATTACCAATGCTACTTGCTTCCGATTCCTGCATGCTTTCAGTATGAAGGCAACTTAGAGATCGTATACAGCTGCGGTTCAGAGTCGCGAGTTCAGGGTCGTTACATTTTTCGGGGTGTCCTCGGCGGAAGCTGTCCAAAACCCAGATGGTTCTACCCGGGAGTCTGCGTGCGATTCTTCGCAGAACTAAACAAGCCGCCCACAGGTTGTTTCCCGAACACCCAACCCAAACAGGCCAACCCTAATCCCATAGCTAACACCTTAAGCCCCCACAACCATGAGCCTAACAAAAACGAAAAGAAAGCCAACCCGTGAAGCTTTACAGTCTGCAAGCTTATATAAAGTATCTTTTGTATCATATGATGTTATTCTACATGTTCTGCATTAGCATGGTGTTGGTATGGTTCAGTGCTTGACGGTGTGGGGCGTAGGAGTTAATTCTTAAGGTAACTTAAGGCTTTATATATGGTGCATTACTGGGGTTCTTGTTTCGAGCTTCATGCGCGTTGGGCTTCAGGAGTTCATGGTTTTCGGATCTCCAGTCATGTAAAACCCTCTAGGGACTGGTTTAACATTCATCAAAAGCTTTGTAGCAAACTCGAGGGTTTCGTAACGAACTCGCGGGTTTCGGCGGGAGGTGAATGCCATGGCCATCGAGGAGGCACTGTACAGCTCGCTTCAGGTTGCCCAGGACCGGGGCCTGTAACGGCTTTAATGGTGTCTTCGTTCGACAAATGATCCCACATTCGGAGTCTCCCGCAAAGTTAGGGATATGGGTGGTTGTCAAAATTAGGGTCCTTTGTTGGGTCCCTAATATAATCCGGCACCTAATATTTAGTGTACCCAAAAAGGGACCACATTTTTGACAACTACCGATATCCTGTTCGGGCTTTTTAGATCCAACTACGTAAGGCCTACGTGGGCTTCCGTGCGTGTATGCGTGTGCCTTCGCGCCGGAGGAGAAGGAGGTCCCAAGCGAGATGGGAACGAGCTGCCCGAAGCCAGACACCAAGCCGGCCATCTACCTTCTGCTAAGGAGCCTGCTCCCCGGCCACATTAAAAGTCAAAAGCACCATTAAGCCATCCCTGTTGCAGGAGATCTACATTCCAGGATGTTCATTTCTTACGACTCGCAAAAAAACAGTTTTCCTGCAGGTGTTAATGGATTTGTCTTGATAAATGGCTGGGTTTTGAATGCAGGGGAAGAGCCTTCTGAGATGCGCCATATCGGCTTCGGAACTCCGCATCATGAACTAACGGTAACCTACGGCTCGCATAAGCATCCAGCGAGAGTTAAACTAATCCGTCCATACATCCATTAACCTATGCATGCATACATTCTGCACTCACACCTTATATGTGTCTCCGAATTAAATGTCACTGTGGTTCTTGACTCTGCATCCACGTATCAGCATTAAGTTTTGCATGCATGCATGCATGTTGGCACGTGCGTGTTTATCGATATGCACCACAGTGCATCAGCAAAACTTGGCCTCAAGCCCGGCACATGCTAGATTCTGCTAGATATACATCAGCGAGTGTAATCCTCAGAGAACTGACATCCAAGGCTGCTGAACTTCAGCGACTCAGCTGAAGTCGAGTTTGTCAACCCAAGTTTGCAGCTTTTTCCAGGGATACGACAGTTTGTTTCGGCTTTAGAGTTCGCAGATCGCACAGAAGTGGCGTACTGGGGGGGGGGGCTTTGAGTTTAGGCAACATGTTCTTTTTTGGGGGCTCGGGTCGTTGATCTTTGTTCCCATTCGTGGTGAGGTCTGGCACTCTTTGGAGCACTGTCTATTCTGGTGTCGCTATCAAATCTACCATGACTGCCACGATTGTTGCGGCAGTAATATGCGTGCTTCAGAAACAAGGGGAGCCTTATGCTCTATAATCATAGATCATGGACAGTAGAACCCAGCCCCTAAAGCGAGATTCTCGAGTTCAGGAAGCCGTGATGTTCTTCCCAGCTTCAGACTTTCCTGCCGATCCTTCGTTTTCACCGGTGTTTGCAGTGTCACCTACACATTTCTTGCAAACGGAGATGCTGCAAAGCAACGGCGGCACAACTTGGACCATGCGCAATGGCACGACGGTAGCAGTGACACAGTCATGACAGCAAGCCAGTTGAAACAACCATTTCTTCTGTATCAGCAGTGCATTACGCAACTGTTGCGCTGAAGTTACTTACAAACCAGCCTCTGCCGTATCATTTTGTTGTTGCCGCTGTTGTTGTTGTTATTGTTATTGTTATTGTTGTTGTTATTGTTATTGTTATTGTTATTGTTGTTGTTGTTGTTGTTGTTGTTGTTGTTGTTGTTGTTGTTGTTGTTGTTGTTGTTGTTGTTGTTGTTGTTGTTGTTGTTGTTGTTGTTGTTGTTGTTGTTGTTGTTGTTGTTGTTGTTGTTGTTGTTGTTGTTGTTGTTGTTGTTGTTGTTGTTGTTGTTGTTGTTGTTGTGTTGTTGTTGTTGTTGTTGTTGGTTGTTTTGTTGTTGTGTGGTGGTGGTGGTGGTGGTGGTGTGGTGGTGGTGGTGGTGTGGTGGTGGTGGTGGTGGTGGTGTGCTGTGCTGCTGCTGCTGCTGCGCTGCTGCTGCTGCTGCTGCTGTTGTGTTTGTTGTTGTTGTTGTTGTTGTTGTTGTTGTTTGTTGTTGTTGTTGTTGTTGTTGTTGTTGTTGTTGTTGTTTGTTGTGTTGTTGTTGTTGTTGTTGTTGTCGTTGTTGTTGTTGTCGTCGTTGTGGTTGGTGTTGGTGTTTGTTGTTGTTGTAGCCGCTATGGATCACAGCAGGCTGTATAGCACTGCTAACAGGGCTCCGGGTACCAACGCTAGAGGCTCGCAACGGCCCCCTTCTGCGAAGCTTAAGGGACTGTCCTCTTTCTGAGCCATAGCCATCCCTGGAGCCACGTGTCGCTGTGATCTACCGGGTCCCAATTCCCGGGCCTCTGTCTGCAGTTATACAACATTGGCAAGAGGTAAGCGGTAGTGGTTTTCACCTATCCGCGAGGTGAAGGGAGTCGGATCGAGTTCTCTCTTTCCGGCGAAACTAGCGGACGGCGCCAACGCCAATGCACCAGCATTCCTTTGAGAGCATTCGCAAGAAGGCCTTTCGAAAGGCTTGCAATAGGGTACACAGAACACAGGAAAGCATCCAGTATAGAAACGGCGTGCTGACGCCTGAGCATCTGCGTCGCAGTGGACTTACCCCACCCTCCCCTCCCCTCCTTCCTTAGTACAGCCTAGTTCCACGGATCCTTCGGCTCCCTCAGGCCGCACAGACAGCTTCCGCTCCCGTCCGCGAGGTGGACGCGCCAGCAAGTCGCTCCGTGTCCTCTCATGGAATGCTGGGCACCTTGGCATCCAGCAATGGGCAGAAGTGAAGACATGGCTACGCACCGAGGCCCAATATGTCTGTGATATTTTAGTCCTGCAGGAGACGCACTGGAGCGAAACAGCAGAGTTTGACGTTGAGGGTTGGCACTGCATAAGCTCTGCCACCAAGGGCGCTGCCCGGGCACCCAAAGCCAAATCAACTTCAGGGCAACGCTCAGCGCGAAGTGCTGCATCGCAGCCGGCGATACATGACACTGGTCGTGCAGATGGGGTTATGGTCCTCCTTTCCCCCTTGATAGACAAGAAAAAGATTAGATGGCGCGAACAGCGCCGAGGCCGACTCATTCAAGTCACCTTTCCGTGGCTCGGAGCTCGAATTCATGTCTTTGCGGTCTATCAATATGCGTGGTCTTCTAAGAAGACTCCTCAACAAAACAAGGAAGATCGCTCGCGCCTGCTACGTGACCTGTCCTCATCCATCAGAGCTGTTCCGGCGAGGGACACATTTCTGCTGGCAGGTGACTTCAACGCACGCTTGACCCCGCAAGAGGGTCTGGTAGGACGGTGCAGCACTAAGCCAGAGCACTCTCAAATGCAGGACGAGCAGTTCCAGGCCTTGGTTACATCTCACAGACTGGTAGCGCTCAACACTTGGTCCTGCGGCACTGGACACACTTTCTTCCTGAACGGCAAGGGCTCACAGATTGATTTCTTGCTGACTTCTGAGGCCTCAGCGAAAGGTATGGCCAAGCGTGCTGGGCCACGACAGGACCTGCAACTTGGACGGTGGAAACGCGGAGGTCATATGCCTGTATTCGCTCAGCTCCGCCCCACCCAGCACTGGAATTTGCCCAAACCTTCCAGCCCCTCCCTGACCTACAATAAGGAGGCCCTGGAAACAGCCGTTCGCTCTGGCCTGCCCATTGCTGACCGTATGCAAGCCTGGGTGAGCCAGCGCCTATCTTCCAGGTACCACATGCCCGACGAGGTCAACCAAGTGCTGCTCGAGGCCTCAGCTATGTTTTTTCCGAAACCCAGACCTCAGCAAGTGCCGGAGACCGCGCAACACCGCGCAACCTTGCGCATGTGGAACAGAGTAGCACACATTCGCTCTCTACATGAGGACTCTGTCACCACACTAGCCGACCTAGATCAGTCCCTGGAGGACCTGAGCCGATGGCACAAACAGGCTCTTTACCTGGCGAAGAAGGAACGCCATCGCGCATTTCAGGCAGAAGTTGATGAAGCATGCGCCCGCCATGACTCGTACATTGCTCACAAAACCCTCAAAAAACTCAGGCCATGGGCACCACAGACCAAAGCACAGCTTCAGGGCCCGGATGGTTTGCTCCTGGACTCACACTCAGCTCCGTTTGCTCCGCGAGCACGTGGAACAGGTTTTTGCCAAACACCCTCCCCTAGATCACCTTGTAACTTCTTTCCCGGACATCCCGGCAGGACTGCTAGCCAAGCACATCGGTTCTATACGACCACACAAAGCGGTCCCTCAAGGCTCCGCACCTGCGGCGTCCTGGCGATTGTGCTCGGCGGATGCGGGTGAGGCTTTAGCAGCAACGCTGCAGTCCATTGGGCAACGCCCACAGTCGGCTGAGGATGTTCTTCAGCCACCGCTCAAGGATGCTGACATGTGTTTTATTAAGCCCAACAAGCCAGCCACGAAGCCTAGCAATCTACGCCCCCTGGGCATCATACGCCCTGACGGGAAAGGCCTGGCAGGGGCCTGCAGAGACAAGCTATCTCCCTAAATATCTTCGGGGCCTTCCTCAGTTTGCCTACCAACCCCAACGCGGTCTATCTGATGCGCTAGGCAGGGTCGTAGGACATGTCACTCAAGTGCGCAGTAACTGCCAGGAGGCCCGGCGAACCAGACACCAGATTCACGCAGGACATACACGTCCTCAATTGATAGGAGGCATTTGCTTTGCTTTGGACTTGTCGCAAGCCTTCGATATGGTGAACAGGTCCGACCTACTCAACACACTGCACGACGCAGGTGTCCCACAGGACCTCATTGATCTTGTCGCCTCCTTGCACGCAGGCAGTTCGTATACTTTTCGCACGCAAGGTGAAGCCGATACCGTCCAGTCCACGGCGGGTATTAAACAAGGATGCAAGCTTGCTCCCACTCTCTTCTCTATGCTCACAGGCACCATTTTTCGAGAGCTCATAGCTCTAGTAGGAGCCAAAGCTGTAGTGGACTACCTCACCGGCTACGCGGACGATCTGACAATCCACCGAGACATCCACTCGCTGGAAGATCTAGAACGCGCTCATGCATTGATAGAGCAGTTGTTGCAGTTGGTCCGCAGTCATGGCTTTGCAGTGAACAATTCCAAGTGCACAGTCATGGTAAAGCTCGAAGGCCAACAGGCGCAACGCGCCCTGTCCCAGCACACGTATTGGCGCACCGCGTCTGATGGTACTCGTCACAAGATGTGGCGGTTGGGGACATCCAAGTCTCACGAAGGCTTTCCAATGGTCACGTCTTTCAAGTACTTAGGAGTCATGCTCTCATACTCGAATTTCGAGAAAGCCACTCTTACATTCCGGCTGCAGGAGGGCAACGCCAAACTGCAACAGGTACGTCGCTTCGTTCACAACAGACGCACTGCAGGGCCGAAATCGAGGCTCCATATCTGGCACAGCACCGTCTGGGCGACGGTGGCTTCTGGGCTAGTCGACGTGGGTCTCACTCTCGAAACGGCTCGACTTTTGCGCGCCTGGCACGCTCGCAGCGGTTCTTAACAATCCGGTGCATCTCACCCACATGTCAACCTCTGACCTTTACGCTTCCTACGAGATCATAGATCCCATTTGTAAGCTACAGGCGAGACAGGCCAATCGTGTCAAACGCTTGCATCTCCGCCAAAAGAAAACACCGGCAGGAGACGTCTCGCTGACACAGAAAGCTGTGCACCAAGCGGAAGCACTCTCTGTTGGGTATACAGAGGTTCTCCAGCAGCTCTCCGAAGAAATCAAGCAACAGGAAGCCTCCCAATCGTATGCATGCCCAACATGCGCTCAGGCCTTTGACACCGAGGTCGGCCTACGCACACACCAGGCACGCAAGCACCCAGGCTCGGTCCTCAGATATGTCCCTAGAGCCTTCTCCCACACCCTTTCGGTAGGAGGGCTTCCTAAGTGTGCAGCATGCAACCGGCAATTCCCTCAGATGAAACGCTTAAAGGACCATTTGTTATCAGGCGCCTGCCCAGACCCTGCCAAATTGAAGGAGCTCGATGAAGCGGCTCATCCCCCTTCGGACCTGCAGCAGGTCCCTCGTCTTCACCCCAGACAGCAACGACTTCATGACACATTGCAGACGCACACTGCGGTAGAACTAGGCAGGCTTGATGAATCCCAGGATCTCATGTCTTATTGCCTGATTTGCGGATTCTGGTCTCCGGACAACACCAAGCTCAAGTCTCATATCCGCCAAGCCCACAAACCGGAGTGGGCAGCTCATGGCGCGGCAGCTGCTGACAAGAGCACCAAATCCGGACTAGTCCTCATCAAGGGCATGCCCTGCCCGTGCTGTCGTAAGAAGGTCACGGACAAAAGACAACACCCTGCGCAGTGCCCTGTTTTGTTCCAAATCTCGTTTTACGATTTAGTTCATGAGCTCTCTCGCTGTCAGGGAGGACCGCTGCGACGGTACATCCCTGTTGTTAGTGCAGCGCCTCGTACTACCTCTGACTCCGATGGTAGACGAGCCACCGGGGCAACGCCCCCAGTAATTCAGGCAACGCCTGTGGCAGGTGCGCCCTGGCCCTCTGGCGCTTCGGGATCCGAGCACGTTACCTCTGATGCCCCCCGCCCGCTAAGCAACGTCTCCAACTACTGCTACATCAATTCTACGCTCTCGGCTCTGGTGCCGACGCGTGTTCTGCTTGAGCATGGAAGAGCTAGCTCCTCTCTCCACCACGAAGTTACTGACAAAGTCTCTGCTTCTCCTTTTACACTGACTGCCTCTTTTACTCTCCGCCACCTTACTCCCACCTGGCGTTATGATGGCCATCAACAAGACGCTTCTGAATTTCTGACGGCTTTGTTTGCCGGAATCACAGATCTTCCGATCGCCAGGCCTTGGGAAGTCAGGGATGCGAACACCACGGAAATCCTGGACGTAGGCGGGCCGCTGGCACTGCTGCCGGCTCCGCTGACTGCCGGCTCCCAGGACCTTCAAGACCTGGTGAGCCAATGGTCCGGGCAACCGGTGCGAGCTGCTTTTAGGGGACAGCAAAGGCTGATCGTCCTATCTGTAGCCCGATTTGCAGACGGTCGAAAGCTCAGCTACGCAGTCACGGGCCTAGGCCGTTTCATCGCGCTTCCCCAGTGGGCCCCTGATGGCTCTGTTCACACAGTTCAGGGCTGGGTGCAGTCATGTGTATTCCACATTGGAGATACCCCGCACAGCGGACACTATCGCTCCCTCTGGAGGAGCCAACCCGATCAACCATGGTCCAGTACGGACGACGGTCGTCCGACTGCTCCGGCCTCAGATTCTGATCTTAGGCAGGCACGACAAGGCTGTTATATGCTGTTAGTGCGACTTGGTTCATCACCGCACACAGCGGAGGCTGGCCCTATGCCAGTCCCAGTTCTAGAGGAGTAAGCTGAGGGTTCCCCTGCGGCCAGGGGCCCCTACTTCCCCCTCGCAGGAAGGGGGCGACCTACTGGCTCTGTGGGACCGACCTGCCTACACGGTAGGGAGCAGGAACGCTGTTGTTTAGTTTTGCTGCTCAAGTTGTACAGCTGACGCAGGGCCGGCAACTCTTCGCCACCGGCCAAGCCGGAAAAACGAGCACGTCGTGACCTCGAGGCTGCGGCGAAGGCTGCCGCGGCACCACCTCAAGGCGGGCGAGGCACGATCCGCGCTCTCTCGGTGCAAGAGCTCACCCGCGCCTTCTTGGCACACGACGACGAAATTCAGAGCATTCTCAATCAGCTCTCCGTCGTTCATAAGCTCCCGGTGGAGGGACCGCTGGCCACGACGGCTCTCGACGCCATTCAGGGATGGCTGAAGGATCATAAGCCAGGCCAACCACACCCCTCCGGCTCTCCCACGGCTGCGGTTGCTGCTGCAGTGCTTCCATTCCTGAAGGATTCAACGAAGCCTGAGTCTGTCACACAACCAGCCTGGGAAGCCTTCAAGGCTGCTCTGGCTCTCATCCTCGATGATCCGGACAAGAACAACGCGATCAATCACGAGCTTGCTCTGTTTTCGGCTCGGGCCAATGCGAAAAAGACCCACCTCATCTTGGAGATCCGCCTGAAGATGCACAGCACGTTGCTCGCTCATGTCTCTACGTACAGCAAACTCATTGAGGACTTTGAAGGCGAGGCACTGGGCAAACGCCCCCAGGGCACTCTGGCTCGAAAAGCCCGTGGACTCCCAACGACCAGCTGAACTTGAGGTATCGAGGCAACGCCCCAAAGGCGAGGCAACGCCTCCAGGTTCCCGGCTTTTAGATTCGCAGCCTCTTGCACCCCACAGCTGAGAGCTGCGCGAGGGAATTGCTTTCCATCTATCAAGAAATTCACCCAAGCCGCTCCTTCGCTCACACGCGTTAAAGAGAACAAAAAGGGCACACAGCTTGGCCGTGTAGTCTCTAGTTCTGCTTACTAGCGGTCTCTGCCTCCCCTTTGCCTGCTTCTCCTTCCACTACCCAGCTAACCATTGCTTGTCTTAGCCGTTGAGATCCGATCAGAGTTCCACTCCGGACTCCTCAGCTCACATAGCTAAGCCATGTCGGAGGCTCAGCATGGCATCTCCCAGGAACAGCTCTACGAGCATCTCCTGTGGGCGGCTCGTCAGGAACTCGATGGTCCGACTTTTTCTCCGTCAGAGAACAAGGTTGACAAAGCGACGTCTGGCGGCACATCCTCAATGTCATCTACGTCTACCAAGCAGAACCTGGCCATCGGCAAGCGCCAATGGGCGACTGAAACATCCTCCTCTTCTACTACAACATCGTCGCCTCCCAAGCCCCCTACGCCTCCCGCATCCAAGCGGCAGATGATGTGGAAGCCCAAACTGCCCAAGGCGTCCTGAGTCGTGTGGCATCGCCAACGACTTAATCGGCGAACTTCGCACCGCGAAACTAGTGCATGAAGTACTCGGCTGAAGAGCGGGTCAAATGAAGACCCTTTGCCAGCGCCTTAAATAAGCGTCTCTAGCTGCTTCAGCTAGGATCCCAGGTGTCTGGCAGCAATCGACTTGCATCGATCAGCAAAGTTTTTGGCCCGAGTCAGAGATTCTCTAACAATCTTTTGCAGCACGCTGTTCCCTGCGCGGACATGTCGCAGTCCTCGACCTCGCTCTCGGCTGAGGCCGGTAAGGCTCTGGAGAGCCTGCAGGAACATGGTTCCTCGCCTCTTGTTCTCCCGGGGCATTACGTCAACCCCTCCATTCAGGTCATGTCCCTGATCACCTCCGAGCTGGGTCAGCAAATCAGCTCGGGCTACACCTGCCAGGTGTATCTTCCAGCCCAGCCCTGCTACTCTCCCTTCTCTGAGGTGCAACGCATCGATCTGACGCGTGGCCCCGCCACCTTCCCGCCCCTTTTGGAAGATCGAGAGCACTATGTGATTCGGACTGCCAAAGCAGGCTTCGGCGCGGAGGTTAATCGAGAAATTATCAGGGCGGCTCGCATGCCTGAGGTGGTGGTTCTCCAGACCATTTTGGCATGGGATCCACAGCACCTCCGAGTGCTCATGCCTCGTCACTACCCTGTCCCGGTCTCTGCACTGACCACTCGTCATGTCTTTCGCCTCATGCAAGACATGCGCAGGGCGATCTCCCTGCTCCATGACCATGACATCATACATGCTGATGTTCGGCTAGCCAACATCATGCTCCGCACGGATCCTGCCAGCTTCGTCCTCATTGATTACGGCGGCAGCAAGGAGACCATTTGGCCGGTCCGTTATGGTTACACAGTAGCAGGCCGTGGAGGCACCCAACACCGCCCTCCAGCTGAATGCATGAACGAATGGTCGACCCCCTCGGTGCGGGTCCCTTACTTATGCGGCCGGAGCGACTTCCACCGCCTGGCCTGTACTATCCGTGAAGAAATTCTTGGCCAGATGGAAAGCGAGGCGGGGCAACGCCCACCCGCTGAGGAAGGCAACGCCTCCAGACGCCGGAAACGCGATCAGCTTCGCCCACAACTCCCTCGCGAGGCCGAGCAGGAATTGGACATGATGCTTGACACCACTACGTGGAAGGTCAAGCCCAATCCTCACAGCCTCTTCCCGCCTGGCTCGTGGCGAGACACGGCTGTCAATCCTACCATCATGTTGACGGCTCACCTGTGGACTACCGATGGCAAGTCACGCACCTGCACTACCACCTTTCGCTCGCCTTTGGAGCGCAAGGGCAACTCCAACGGGCATTTTGTGGACGAACCGGACCAGCCCTCCTATGAGCCTGGCGCCTCTCTCGCAGCACAGATCAACACTGGCTCGTGGGAACAGTCGGGCTATCTTCCCAAGATCTTCCTGGTCTGTGAGCTAAAGACTGAGGGACGTGGCACCCGATCAGTGGCTCAGCAAGTCTATCCTTGGCTGTCATACAGAAATAGGGATGGCATGCTGGAGCTAGAGCCACCGCCAGGTCCACCTCGGATGGACCTATCCTCGGTGCAGTCCCAGAGCAACGCTCCCTCATCAGGGGGCACCGCCCAAGAGCCACTTGCGCCAGGGCGAATTACATCGGACCCGCCTCCGCCTTCAACGACGCCTCCTTCCCCTATGCTAACGGGCGTTTGGGCTGAGCCACCTATGGAAGCGCCTGATGTGGAGGAGACCACCGCTGCCCCCGCAGCCTCGGGAGCTCCGGATGTTCACTCCTTCTCACCTCTTCAGGTCTTCCCGCTCGTCCATGCTCTGGAGCAACACGCCGGCACCACGGTACCCGGAGCAGATGGCCTCTCTCGCTCGGCCCTCTCCAACTCCATTCAGGATACGATGATCTTCTTGCAGGCTCTGTCGCTCTACTTGGAGTACCAGGAGCCGGAACCGACCCCCACTGAGCGCCAGGCCAACCCTCTCTTTTAGGGGTGTTCTATCACTGTGGTGTCTTCAATCATCCTTCTCATTTCAGGCAACGCCTGCACACTGCAAGCAACGCTTGCTAGGTCCCTGCTCACACTTAGCCGACTCCTTTTTTCGCCTTGGGGTCCACCCTCTAAGAGCTCCTCATGGCGTGGACGCGCCCCTTTCCAACAGTCTGGGATGATGCAGGTCGGGAGGTACTCAATGAGGCGCCGCCCTTTCTGGCCCTTGCTGATTCCACCTTCCAGGGCCTTTTGCGACAGGGCAAGCAATGGGCCTCATACGGCTACCCCTCGCTAGGGATGGGCTACTCGGTGGTGTGTCCCGGGGCTTCCCTCGTTCGCTCCTATCCTGGGCGTCCCTCCATCTTAGGAGCCCTTGCTTTGGCTGCGGGGGATTCCCTCCAGTCTCGCGACTCCCTGCCAGCTCCGATCCTGGTCAATGAGGGCTTCTTGCACTTCCTGCGGGACAGGCTCGATGAGCCTGTCAAGGTAGGCCTGGTTCCCTGCGGACGCAGTGTGCCACATCCCAAGCAGACTGCTTATGACTTTGTGGAAAGGGCACGGCACGACTTCAACCTCAAGGACTACGAGTTCCCTTGGCAGATCATGGACCTGGACCAGCCTCCGGATCTGGACCTGTATGGCCAGGATCCCACTCACTTTCAGCCGTCTGCTGAGCTGCCTGCCATTGGGCGTATCATTGGCCGCGCTCTCTACTGTATGACAGTACCGCGAGCTGAAGGAGGCAACGCCCCCGAGACTCCGCAGGGCAACGCTCCCCAAACCCCATCTACCTCACCTTTTGCGGGTGGCCAGGGGCCAGGGGATGCGCAGCATGCGCCGCACACTCCTCCACCCTTTCTGCCAGTTCTTCTGTGCTGCTCCTGGAACGCGACTCAGGGCATGATACATCAGGAGATGTTGGCCACCCACGCCCTCATTCGAGCCACCACTCTTAGAGAGTTGCTGATCGTGGCGGCCAGCCAAGCCAACTTCCCCATTGAAAAGACGTACCGCCTTACGGTACCGGCTGACTGTACTCCCTATGGGCGGTTCCCAATCCCGCAGCGCCTGGTCCAGACTTTCATTCATGACGAAATGGTTGGCCCTAAGGAAATGGCGGAGGACAAGTTCCGGACCTTTCGTCGCGAGTTCTTCAACGACGAAGCCTGCGCGGAAGTGATCCGTTCAGTCACTGGAGGAGCAGGGCAACGCCTTCTCTCCAAGCTCCGAAGCAACGCGCATCGCGCGGATGTCTTCAGATACGTTGAACACTGGCTCCGCGGCGGCATCTACCTCGACATCAAGACTGCCTTCCTGATCACGCCGCAGGAGCTTCACTCCTCCATCGTGGCAGAGTGGCGAGACAAGCCACTCCTCTCCGACCTTGCCTCCCAAATTTATGGATGGGATGCTGATACCTTGCGAGCCAGCGGCCCTCCTGATTACTTCCTCACGGCCATCGGTCAGAAAAAGGACCACATTTTCCAGGGCATCCTCATGGGACGACGGCAGCACCCCCTCATGACTGCTGCACTACGCCATGCTTTTCAGCACAAATATGTGGATGCGCAGGGGGCCATCTACGAGAAGTATATGTTCTTCTGCATCGCCCTCTATGAGATCGTACGCCAGGACCTGCTCAGTGACCCGGTCCTCCACCCAACGGCGCAGGGACGCAGCTTGGCCCCTGGCTGGCACCTCACACAGACCCTGGGCCTGATCTATCTGCTGCAGGAGGTCCATGAGGATCAGCTGCGGCGAATGCAGGGCGTGCCCCCCAATGAGGGGCATGGGTTCCGAACAGCCTCCAAGCAACTCATAGCTCTTACTCGGTGCTGGGGTTGGAACAAGGGATGGAAGTCTGATCCGGCTTCCACCAAAGCCAACAACGATGCCATCCTTCGTGGACTCCCTACTGCACTCCAAGCAGCGCAGGAGGCTGGCAACGCCACGACCCGGCGAGGCAACGCCTCCACAACTCCGGTCCCCACTGAGGCCACCATTCAGGCACATGTGCTTGAAGCTCTCGACACCAGCCTTCTCGATTGGATTGTGCAGCTTATTGAAAAGTGGCCGCAGTTCTATGGCGAACTCACCAAGCAGCAAGTCCAGGAGCTCATCCCGCGCGGTCTTGGCATAGCCATTTCAGAACATGGTGACAGTTTGTGCTGTGTCTTCTGTGCGGGCAAATCTGGCGGGCCCTGCATGTTCCACACCTCTCAGGGCTTACTGCCGCACTTTCTGCGGACACGTGGCAGCGGTGCTACATGGCATCACGCGGGGGAAGAGGCCTATGCCAGGGCTACCACTGGGCGCTCAGGTCAGGCCGCTGCGGCGGCCTCCTCCTCAGATACCGGCAATCAACGGCCCAACGAGCCTGCCTCCCCGCCGCCATATGTCGCACCGCGACCAGCCATTCTTGATGCACCGCATCGTCATGAAGCTCCTCCTCAAGAGCCAGAAACCACTCCTCCCACGATGGAGGAACTCTGTGCCGAGAAGGACTTCTACGATTGGGTGGTGGCAGTAGCGGACCTCCAGTCACTGACGGCTCCTGAAGTCGTGGGTGTTCTTCAGCCCCAGGAGTTCACAGCGATATGGAATGCCCGACTTCAGGTCTTGACCAAGCTGCCAACCGTGCTTGCAGGCCTTAGCAGGGTTTACCAAAAACCTGAAGCTGATCGAAAAGACCTCAGCTGGCGCTCTGTGATCTCGGGTCGACTTCCTCTGGCCACTTAACGATGGCCACGAAGGACCGTGCTGGTCAAGAGCACATCCACCCCAAGCTCACGACCTGGCTCGGGGGCCTTCAGGCTACCATTAAAAATGGGGTTCCCTACGCTCTCTTCGAGGGCAAGCGTGTGGCTACTCAGGATGAGTTTCGCCTCTTCGCGACGACCCTGCAGACCATCTATGAGGCAGCCACCAAGAAGGCGCACCAACCCTCCCACGTCAATATCATCCAGGCCACGCGTGACAGTCATCCAACCATCAAGATTACGCACGGCCAAGTCCTGGATAGCAAGCTGAACGTGATTCGCAATGTTACTGGCCAGCAGCTTCGTGGTCGCCGCGAAAAGCAAGCTGAGCACCGTGAGAACAAGGAGTCCAGGAGGTCGGACCCGTATGGATCTCACGAGCCTCCGCCCGAACAACACTCCAGATCCGCCGGCTCCCAAGACTGGCAAGACTGGCGGGACTGGGAAGAAAATTCCTACAATGCCAGGAACTCTGCCTACCACGGCTATTACCGCTGA